ATGAAAAGACAAATCAATCTGCATAATCACAGACATTAGCAAACTAGCCTCTCTGACAGCTAGACACCTACAAACGAGAGCCTTCTATTACAGATATTGACAAATAAGTTGTGTCGTAATAATAGATTTAAGAGAATAGAGTAGATTTTGTGGAACTCACATATATTTTCGAAGAAAATAGTGAGTGTAAGTTGAATTGTTAGGTTTTTGCGGCTCCCCTGTACCCCCCCCCCCTCTCCATTACAGACATAAAACATAAAAAAACTAACACTTCGGTGCACTAATTAGATAAAATTTTTATGCAGATGGATTGCCTATGTTCACCACTACTCACATCACTAATAAAAATCTAGTTTCACTAATTAGAAATGATTATAACTAGGATTTAGTCTCTAATTAATCATCAAAATCTGTCGTTTTTATTATTATAGTCCATAGTTACGACAGTATTATATTTTATTATTATTAAAGACGTTCGCAACCAGCATATGCTACCGCTACAGAAGCTAGCAACTAGTTTATGCTACTATTGCATTCGTTACTTCTACCACCTACAATAAACAGATGAAGATTTTAATCTTTTTTTTTCTCACACGAATATCTTATTCTAGAGCTTGAGTCCACTTCAGTGTATTTACAATTCGGAACTTTTTCATCCACTGGGAAGCTTTTATCAAATTTTCGTTTATGAAAAAATGTATCGATTTCTCACCTGGTAATACGAAAAAATATAAATTTCTCAACAATATTGATAGCTATATCATAAATACTGTTTAAAATATTATCATTCACAATATTTCTCAATGAAACCACTAAACACTTCAGCATACTGACATATTTTAAACAAAAAGTTTTTCATACGTTCTCTCTAGTATAAGTTGAATTGTAATAAAGCAACGAATAGAGGGAACAAGACAATAGAAAACAAGAGTATTTACAGAAAAGGTCTTTTCTTCTTTTCGTGATATTCGGCTAGAGGAAACAACAGATGTCAAGAAGAGATTATTTCTTATTTACAGTGATGTAGCAACAGAGCTATTTATTTACAACGTGATATGGTGGACTACAACTGCTGGATTATTGGATTAGAGTCTGTCTCTAAAACCAAATGGTTTAGTAGAGTTGGATGGTTTCAAGTCCATTTTCTATAATGATTATTTTTATCAACGTCTCTGATGTGTGCGCTGGCACCGTTTAGCAGAACAACAAAGCTTGCAAATGTCGAGATAAAAGTATCTATGACTTGTAAGTCGCTATCGATCTTTAAACAATGCCACTGAATCGGATGCCAATTAGGCAAAATAGATTCGATGGAAGAGAGAATGCCCGCAACCCTGTCGTTCAAAAGCTACTTTTTGAAGGTTAATGGGAAATATATTTGTTTCATCTAAACCTGTTTCACCTACATCTACAATATATCTTCCTGACATGGAATAGTTTCTATTTTGTAAAATGTTTTGCTGATGAGAGATTTTGAAATATAAGCCTTGTGCTGTGAGGAACTGGCTGTATTTCGAAAGTCTTGTAAATTTAAACGTTTCGGTAGAATACTGAGAAAACTTTCTTCCAGTTTTGGAATTTGTGTTTGTTCGGTATCATAAAAAGTGTTCGCATAGTTGAGTTAAAGATTGCTTCAAAGAAAGAATAATTATTTGAAGAGTCATTTCAATGACAATGTGCGTCGACGATCGGAATATTGTTGGATAAGTGAATGAGCAACTTACACACACAAGTATGGCAAAGAGTTTTGAAGTAAAATTATATATTCATGTTCGACAACTGGAAAAATCCAAAGAATATTTATCGCATTTCATGATTTCAAAAAATAGATAGATAAAATATGTCTTATTCTCAATAATTTTCGAACACATTTGATTCTGCTCGTTTATGCATTTTCTATTTCGTCCTTCTTCAAGCTGTCTCTTGTTAGAGTTTCGTTCGGAAAATGCGAAAACCTATGCATGAGTATTTTTCTTTCTTTTACTTCTCAAGAAACTTTACCCAGGACGCTTGATCCGACAGTTGGATCCCGTCGGATCCTATCGGAAAACTATCGGACTATATCGGATACGGTAGGAATTCGTTGGAAGTTGTCAGAATCCTTGGTATCGGATTCCGATAGGAAGTTGCCGGATGTCGGAGTGTCGGAATACCAGAATTCCGACAAGAATCACGGTTACTCCGACGCTTTCCGCCATCCGACAACTTCCCGTCGGAATTCATAGGATCCGATAGGATCCTATTGGTCAGTTTCGCCCTGGGTAAATACAAAAGTAAAAAGCAGAGCCACTCAATTACCTATGTGTGCCGGTTATCCAGTCAATCCATCAAAGTTGTCACGTAAACGACAATCTCATCTAAAAATGATTGTTGATTAACATGTTGACATAGCAATGATTGATTTGCACTGTAAAAACAGTGGAGTTTTGAATTATTAATAGTAGTATGTGGTCCAATACATTTCAAAGGCGAAGCGACCAGTTGGAAATCAAATACTGAGGAAATTCTCTTTCTTTGAAGAACTGAATAATTCAATTTATTTTCCTTTCGAAATACTGACTGACTAAGAATAATAATCATCCAAACGATACATTTTTTACCTATTTTTTTACCTATTTTTTTACCTCATCATGAATATACACCATGACTACCGTCAACACCGCATACGTATCATTTCTATCAGCCCCTATTACTTGTACGGCCGATTTGTCGATTCGAAGCATGAGAAATGACTGTATTTCTTTAGTTCTATCATGTGTTATTTACGAGTTCTGAAAAATTCCAGTGTTTTGACGCTATCAACTGCTTGATTTTTTCTACAGGCATTTTTAGTTAATTATGGTTCATACAGAACAGAAAAAAATCTTCTACAAGCTAAACATGTTTTGACATCGTTACGGTACATTTTTTTAATATTAATTGGTAGTAAAACATATTGCAAATAAAAGATCGTAGAAAATATTTGATTTAGGGTACACTTCTTCCCAAGGTAATCGAGTTGACAGCAATCATTTCATCAATCGAATAGTTTGCTTAGTATCCGTACTGTGCCTCCTACACTCTATACACAGTATGTTATTTTTTTCTTTTTGCCATCGTTCTTCATCTTAAGTAAACAACCCATGTTGCGAATACCGGATCAATTTTTGCGGTAAACCGCGGTATTTATCGGTTCTGCGGTAATGGGAGCCGGTAACCGGACCGGTAAAACCACGGTAAACCGGCGGTTTTTTGCGCATGTTTATCACATGTAAAAGTAAAAAAAAGGATCTTTCAAATAGTTTAATTGATGATTTGGAAGACTTTTTCTGTCAAAAATTATAGATGAACCGGTTAACCGCTCTTTTTAGCGGTAACCGCGGTATTAATCAAAACCGGCGGTTTACCGCGGTAAATGCCAGTTCATTTTTTGTGGTAAACCGCGGTATTTATCCGCTCTGCAGTAATGAGAGCCGGTAACCGGATCGGTAAAACCGCGGTTAACCGCCGATTTTCATGCGGTTTTTATTACATGGAAATGTTCTGTGGACTTTAAAAAAAAGGTGCATGCATCGTCATTGACTCATGCCTTAGCATCGACTGAATTCATTATTCAACGATCGTATACAAACGGAGTTGTCACTTTTAGAGCTTGTAGAATTTTTTCTAATAAATTATTTTGCGAGCGAACTACTGTAGTGAAACAAATAACTCTCTCAAACTTGTTTTTGTCTTATGCTAAAAAAATACAATTTCCGTAATTATAATCAATTCAAATTATATGAAGATGGAGGGAGCTCAATACCGTCAAAATGATACTCCTTCAGGTGTATCCTCTGGTGATAATAAGACCAAATTTGCTGACAGTATAATCAAGTTTTATTGTGCAAAATTACACATTGTTATGATTGTGTTGGACTTAGTGATTGGTAGTGTGGAACTGGGTGAAGGTATCAAAAATGGCAACCAATGCCCGATTCAACCCATGATTGGAACGTTTTTGATCGTTCACGGAGCTGTTTCAATTTTTTCTGGATTCACTCTTCTGCTGGCTGTGAGGGTTGCCCACTATGTGCATAGACAAAGTGAAAGAACGATTGCTCGTCCGATCTTTTTTCTTCTTCTCATCATCATAATTATTATCAATCTTTTCTTTTTTGGGTGGCTTATCGCTGGAAATATTTGGGTTTTCGGAGCCAGTGCTAATGGTGTACAAGGTAGTAATCCTACGAATTCGGCAACATACTGTCAATCAGATATGTATCATGCTGCGATTGTGCTTATTATAGCGAGATATATCGTCGTTCCCATCATTATTATCATTGTCATCGCTGTGCGTTGCTGCAAGAAAACGAAATAGACATCACTTAATTAATCAGCGAAACATTTAACTTCTTTCAATATGATTCAAATAAACGATATATGTCTCTTGTTGAGGTACTGATGAATAAACGTGAAACACACGATTCAGCAGAGCTTTGAAATGAATTACAAATAGAAAACATCGAAAAGCGATGCGAATCAAGAACTGATATATAAAGCGATATTCTAGGAAGTCATTCAAATTTACAGTGTTTTCTTTTGCAAAAAGAGTTGTATCTTAAAATGCACAAGGGTCTTAAGTTTTAGCCTATTATAGTAGCTTTTGATCGATTATGATTTTTCGTCGAATCCAATATGGTTCATAACTGTATACATATGTGATGGCATTCAGTATTGCTAACTTCGCCTACCAAAAGTCTGAACCTAATTTTATTACTCTGAGAATCAACATTGAGTGTCGATTATTTTGTATTATATCACAGGTCTCTTTTTACGCCTGGTTTTCGATCTGGTATCGGACGTTTTTTTTATTCTCGTTCTTGTTCATACTCTTATAGTTCGACAGCGATAAGTACTCTTCCTCCCGTAGACATGAGTGAAGAAGAGTCGTGTAATAATACATTCTCAAATTCTGATTTTCCTGCCACACAGTTCTGTTAAATTCTAAACTAATTGAAGTACATTCATTTAAGATTATTCTATCTTAATTCTGTTGGGTTATCTTTCAGTTCGTTAGAGGCCGAAGTCAATTTGACCAATATTACACGGATCATCTTCTGCATTTTTTCTATTGTTTCCAGAGACGGTGTAGTCGTTTTCTCTGCTGCTTCAATTGCTTTGTTATAATATTCGAGTGCCGCTTTAAAATCATTCTTTAGAAATAATAAATCGGCAATATTTTCATACGCTGTTGAATGCTCATTGAAATTTAACGGCTCTACAATTAGAAGAATTTCAAGAAACTTCTCGTAATATTTCAACGACATTTCTCTATTATTCATGTCATAATAAGCCACATTCATCACATTGTATATTCGCAAAAGATCATGATGATTTTGTGTTGAACACTGCATTTGAATTTCAAGAGCTTTTTCATAATGTTCCAATGCAAGATTATTGTTTTCGGTCATTCGATAAACATCACCAATATTTAAATAAGTTCTCGAAGAAAATGGATGATCCGATGTCGACGTGCTAAGTGCTTTATTGTAATTTATCAAAGCTTCCGTATAGTTCCCATTAGCAGCATAAATTAAGCCTATATTATTATAGGCAATAGAAAAGTCAAAATGATTTTCTGGTAAACATTTTGTCATAATTTCCACAGATTTTTTATAGTTTTCCAAAGCTAATGAATAATTTTCAAGACGATAATATATTGAACCTATATTATTGTATGTTAATGCGATNATCGAGAAGGCCAATATTGCTTTGAATGACGCCAGCAAGTTGATTTTGAGTAAGTGGTTCTAAGTCGCTAAGAAATAATTCAGAAAAATGTCTAGCTTTTTCATACTCGCCCATTTCAGTTAGCACATCAGCTAGAGCCAATAGAGTTGGCTTTGTTTCGACGACATATTTACTAAAATGTTCAACAAGTCCCTTTAATTCGATATTTTCATCATTACTCAGCTCTAACACGACATGCCAAATAGGTTCATTATCTTCAACAGATTTGATTCGAAATATAGTTCCCACACAAAATAACATTTCATATTCATCCTTTATGAAACTTAAATGCTGTACATTTCCAAACGGTTTTGCCGATAGTGAACAACAGTCAACATGGATTTCGAACAAAACGGATTCATAATCTGGCCGTCCGAAACCATTGCCAGTAAAATTCAAGGCAACTTGACTTTGTAATGTTGTAGAAAAAAATGTGTTGATCGAAATTAATTCACCGACATTTTCTTTAAAATTGTCAAATTCGTCATGATGCATCAATTGTCCACGATACACCGTAATTGACGAAAGATCTTTGCTTTGCTGCAACTGAACATCTCGCAATTGATTGTATAAATGTTTGATAAAATATCGGAATTTGTATATTATATTTATATTTTGTATTCGAAATGCTTTGTTCAGTAAACGATATAAAAATGAGTTTCGTGTGTACCACGATATCGCCTGCTCGGCAATGTATGTTTTATAAAAATCTAAAATTCTTTTTAGTTCAATTTCGTTACCATCATATTGCGCTACACACTCATAAAACATATCATCTTTGGCCGTGTCAGAATAATCGCCATGAAGTAAAGTATCAATCAATAATTGAAACCACATGAATTGTGCACTTTGTTTATTTAAATCCTTCATACTCATTTCTTTCAAATTTAAATCGTCATACTTGTGAAAAATATTCAATGGTAAAATGTTTTTTAGAGATAATTTAACATCATCATTAATTTTAGCTAGAAGTAGATCAATATCAGTAAATACACCACGAATTTTCGATGCATAATTTTTATTCAAAGCCCATTCTTCATGTTCGACTTTATTGAAGCAATATATATAAATATACAACAACTGTGGAAAATGATAAATATTTGGCACCAGTTTTTGTCCTTGAGAACCGCATGTAATAAAAACTATGCTTTCAGTTTGAATAGTTTTGATATAATCAAGGCATTCATCCGCATCACTAAATTTCACATTATAATTGATGATTGGGCTCAGTTGAGCTCGTCGGTCACAAGATGTTTGATCGCAATCAGCATATTTAGAGTCAAGCCACACAGCAGTGAACTGCTCGTGATTCTGAGTCATGTTTTGTGAAAAAAAGAATATACAATTAGAAATAAATTCTTTTCAGCATAATACCAAAATATAAATGCAGCGTGCGAGAATTTTGCTTGTTCTATTCTCTCTGCTTTTTTTTAATGATTTTATGAATACTGGCTGCTGCAGGAACAAATCAAATTGAGAAGACGACTGTCGCTTTGGTTATTTTATGAATTGGGTGTGTGGGATGAGTGTGACTGTACACTTCTTACCATCAGTTACTCGCACATTTTCCTCCAAAATCCATACGTGCCCGTCTAACTACATTTGGACACCAGAGCCTTCTAGTATGTAAATGTCCTCTTAGTTTCGCGTGCGTTAGAACGAGTATTTTTTAGCTTTAGTCTCGAGACTATCGTCTAGAGGTATAAGAGAAAAACTGTTTACTTTACCTATTTATTTTCTACTTTCAGCAACTTCAAGATATCGTTCATTATAAAAGAGAAATTCTATTTAGAATAATTAAACTGATTCGTTTCCTTTATACATTGCACTAATTAGTAAATAACAGCTGAGTGATAACTTTTGCACACTGCTAAAAGTATTTAATCAATTTAATTTATATTGTACTGTATGTAGGCAATAGCCTTAATATTTTATTTTATTCTGAATAGATGGATTCTTTTAAAAGATGATCGTATGCAAAAACAATATTATGATACCATTCACAATGGAGTGATTACATTGAAATTAATAATATTTTGCGAAACTTCCATATTCCATCATTGATACAAAAATATTATGAAGTAAATTTATAATGTTTAAATTGCATTTTTTTCTCATTGTGAATATTTCAGTTTTCTTGCTAACGAATACCTAAACATTATGCTTGAATCACCAGACGTAAATGAAACTCAAATATACGGCTGTCTGAATCACCCAAAAAATTGTATGAAAAAGCTGTTTTTTGAGTTATTATTTCTCAAATAGAAAGGATTCAGATAGTATTGACAAATTTTGAGATTGCGCGGTAATAAGTATCTTATTGAATAAATACTAATAGATTTAATCAGAACTATTAGTTGATTAGAATACAGTTTAGGAAAGACAATACATTAATATTATCAATTTGTTTATATTTCATGATTTTTGTTTTCTTGTAACATATAGAACTATAATTAATTGGAAAATTGTGTGACTGGCTGAAAATACAAATTACTGTTAGAAATATTTTGAATATTTTCTTTTAGGCTATTGGTATGGATAGGACATTTTTTTCGTTGATTATTTTTAATTTCATTAAATCAGTGAAGAGCTTTTTCATATAATGGGCACGATACATGGGTGTTTATATAGGAATTCCACGATAAAAACACAAATTATTTTAATGATAACTGATTTAGATTCTTCAATTTAAATAGCTCATCAGTACAATGGTTTCATTGTCACCATTTTACTGATACGAAAAATTGCCATAAAATATTAGCTTTATATTTTAACGTAATAACGAACATATTTAGCATAGTGTGTACGCAAAGCGAAGAGAATAGCAACGCTCACACCCGCAGGTCTCCACTTCTGGCACAAACATGTTTTCTCCTTTTTCTCCAATTTATTCTGTAACGTTTATAAGGATTCCTTCTCTTCTCTTATATCTTGTTGATTTAATAAGCTAATATTAATTACAACGCGAGCTTCTCGAATTGGCAAAGTTCAAAATAAATAATAGCAATAAGTAGTGACGTAACCAGGGTAGAGCATGGCTGAACTGAGCCCAACCACCATAGCTCTGCGCCCTGTCACCGGTTGTTTAAAAAAAATGATTTTTTTTTTATAACTCTAGACCCAATAAAACACGGCACGTTTACCATCGCTCTGATCTCTTTTTCTGTTGATATTAAAAACTGTTACATTGCGAACGTTAGCTGATTATTTTTTAATTATGCATTTAAATTACAATTCTCTAGCAGATGTTGAAAGATTCAAAAATAAACAGTATTAATCTCTATACTGAAGTATTACTCTAGCAAAGTAGAATTTGTTTGAATACGTTTAAACACACAAAAAGAGAAAAGCCCAGAAAAAGTCGGCTCGTTTGTATGCCAATCGGAATTCCAAAGTGTGAGCGAAAAATTGTCACGTTTCTTTCTTTCTGTGCGTTTAAACGCTTTTGCGGGCAAAAATGCGTGTAAATCCATCTAAAAACGACGAAAAGTAGTCGTTTTTACATACTTGAGAACCCTAATTATGAGCTCATCGTCGATAGTGACTATGAAAAAGGACCATTTGTTGTCTTTTTCAAATACGTTTACATACGTTTTCTGACTGAGAACCGGTGTAAACGCGCAGAGAGGGCGAAAATGGGCGTTTTTCGCTCACAATCCGGAGCCTCGATTGTCATTCAAACACGTGGACTTTTCTTCTCTTATTGTGCGTTTAAACGCGTTTTCAAAAACTTTTGTCTGATTGGATGTCACTGAAACACGTATTTCCAATTACTATATTTCTTGCCGTTGTTGCTATGACTATACTTATTTTGCCTATCGCTCACAAAAGCACATTTAATAAGATGAAATTTATAGAAACAATCGCACATAGTTCACTATCAAATACTCGGTTGAGTGATTTGCGCGTTTTGGTGGTAGGACACGATTTCCACATCAATTTCGAAAAACTAATGGAGAATTTTGCTGATTCGCACAAATACAGTAGAAATTTTTATAATAAAGCCTTATAATTCTGTATTTATTTTTAATAAGCAAATGAAAACTTATTTTAAAAAAACGCTTTTCAAGTAAAATGCATTATTGCATTCTTGTTCTACGAAAAAAGTTATACATAAGCAAAAATAGGTTTTTGGAAAAACGTTAGGGCGCAGCCCGACCACCCAACAAATCCTGGTTACGCCACTAGCAATAAGTCTAGTGACATCTCATTTTAAGTTTCATCGACATAATAAAATCATACAATGCTTTTCGAAATACAGTTCCACCACACAATGTGTAAACATAGAATGTTATGCCATTTGATATATCGTATATCAAAATGGCTAAATCATATACGAAGACATTAGCGGCTAATACCAGCTGAGATCCATGATCGTCCCAGAATGATAAATAAAATTTGGCAAAACACAACGGAAGAGTGAAAATGCCAATGAGAATAACTTGAGAAAAAAGTATTCTAAGAAGGCTGCGATCTGTTTTCTGTCTGAATTTTCCCACTGAATTTTCACCATGTGATCCCAATGGCCTTTTCGTAGCGACTCCGGTACTCCCTAATTGTAATGTGTGAATACGACGTTGAGATTGACGTACATTTGAAATAATTAATGAACCAAACAAAATCATGAGAAATATAGGAATTAATACTGTAACTAGTGCAAGTGATAGATCAGTGAGAAAACGGCATGCAACCGTTTTACCATAACATTTCAGAGGAGTATCCATCAGATTGGCTTCATAACAGTACAACTGTTGAGAATAGAGAGCAAATGAAAGAATGACAATAATTGCTGTCCAAAGTTGGGCATTCTTCAGTGAGCTGTGTTGTCGACGATGAGCATTAATACTTGATAATAGCCATCGATCAGCGGTGGCTAATACCATTAACCACATAGCGATTGTTCTAGTTGAGAAGACAAGAAAAGCGCGAAGTTTGCAAAGCCATCCCATATAATCGGTTGGATTGGTCGTCCAGCCATCGATCATTATTGTGATAAGACCAGATATGAGAGAGGCAAGATTAACAATGGACAATACCAAAAAAAGCCAAGCGCATGGATTAGAACGATATGCTCGTTGTGAGAGAACAAGAATATTGAGAATATTGCCCACGACACCAAATATAAAAATTAAAACTGCCAGAGAACGATTGAAATGCATTGTAATGTTGTTGAGTAACTCGACAAGAAACTGGTCATGTGATACGTTAGACATCTTTCTCTTTAAAATAGCGGACACTATTGTACTAAAAAGACACGAGAAAAAATATGAATCTTATTGTGTAATGTGAATTTGAAGTATTTTCTGAAATTAGATGATATGCCGAAAGTATTCATACCGTCGATATAGAACCTTTAACTTCAAATGCAGAAGTTGAACTATGCCATATCAATCATAAATATAAAATTTTCATAACCGATTCTAATATATCTTCTTCAAGCTATCGATTTTTAATACAAAAAATACGTATAAAACATGTTTCTAGTTAAAAGTTCTACTGATCAATGTGTCGCAAAGTATAATACTTACGTAGACTGATGTAAATTAATAAAAGTGAGAAGCACTTATATATTGGTTGGCCAATCCGTTTTACGCTATTTTTTCTCTTTGTATCTGTTTCTCTTTCTAGATTTCAACATACAAAACTCTCCGTTCCAGGCACGCTGATCTCGGAAGTAGAACCTGATAAGATATATATGCAACTAACACCAACCAATGATGTGCTAGTTAATAATTTATATATATATGCATGTGGGTTTTCATTTGAAACATTGAATTAGCTTAATTATAACTATCGTGACTAAATAACATTATTCTAAGTCGTTTTTGTCACCATTTTAGGAGTGAGAAGCCATATATTTGTTTAACATGAAATGTAGTTTAAATTGTAAATTCCTGCGAAAGATGCTCTGTGAAAAACTCTACAAAATTTATATGGTCGAATTCGTTTTGATGCTTTTTCTTCTACTGAAGATGAACGATTTGCCGTCAATTCCCATCAAATAGAAAATATTGCTAGGGCATTTTGGACCCGATATAAAACTTGGTCTTTACTAGTTTAATAGAGCTTTTCGTAGAGCCTGTTTCGGAGAAGAATTCAAGTTTTTACCATTTACCTAAGCCAAGAATTATACGAAGTAATTTAAAAGAAACATTTTTCTAAGACATTATTTTAACTGGATCTTGATGTTAAATATAAATATATAAAAAGACGCAACTCTTTCCGCGTTTTCTCCCTATAGTATGTAGTAGGTTAACAGATACAAGTTCTATTCAATTTGTATTCTTAGAGATGCTATTAGCTTTAGTCATTTGTGACCAAATATAAGGATACGAATTTTAGTCTATAGCTTATTATAATGAAGCTGAATTGGATTGAGAAACTTTGATCACTATTATAGTATGGAAAAAATTTCAAATTAGTACAATAATATATGAGTGAAACATAATCTGTTATTTCAGAGACCGAAACAGGGCGAAGCACATATCAATGCCTGGTTGGCTAGTCAATATAATTCTCGCTCATGGCGCCTCTTACTTATACTTGTAGGATTTGCTTAGGTTTTTTATGTTTTAAAACAGGAGGATTTTGTTGAAAATTGTGTACCTATTATATAATTATGACTTATCAGAAACACAATTTTTGAAAACTTTATCGTTTCATTCCTACTGATGTCTAAATGTATATATTTCGTTGAATATTCTATGCACAACGCCAAAAATAATAATTTCATTATTCTTCAATAAGAAAAGTATGAAGCTATTGCTGTTAATAGTTTCATATTGTAAATGCTGAAAGGCGAAACTAGTTACACCTAAAATAAATCATTGAGACGATCTCATAAAAAAAATGATATCACCGAAATGAGCTGATTTAGTAATATATAAAAGTATTATATTTTCTATCGAAGTCAAAACTATGCTTCTATGACAAGATACTATTAAGATACATTTAGAAAAATATCACCGGATTTTGTGAAGAATGTTAATTACATTTGCAAGCGGATGCTTTAAAAAAATGATGTTATTTTAAAGGAATGTTTCGAGAGAATTATCAATCTTGTATTAAAAGATTGTTTTACACCGTAATGCAATAGGAATAAGAAAACATTTCATGGCCAGCAACAATTGCACATGAAAATGCTTGTTTGAAATAATAGATTATTATAATCTTGAGCACTTAGGAACGTGCTTGCAGTACTAATAAAAATACGTAGTAGTGAAATCAGGAAATATTTTATGTGGGATAAGTTGTGTATATGAGATGGATGCTGAATTGCTGATCAATTTGATTATTGATATTTCAGTATATTTCTATTAGAGAACGAGTAATAGAAAATAAATATACTGCTTTTTCAGAATCTCTTTTTATATCTAATAAATACGTGAAGCTCAGTTTTGAATCATGATCATGAATTGACCTTCATAGGGCGTGGAACGTCTTCTTTGTATTCACACCTACGTTCTTAATTGAATTCATTCTTTTATTTTATTCTGAATAGAGGGCAATTTTTTAAAAGATGACCGTATGCAAAGACAATATTATTAGGTAAATTACGTTGAAATTAATAATATTTCGTGAAACTTCCATATTCCATCGTTGGTTGAAAAATATTATAAAGTCAATTTATAATATGTTTAAATTGCATTTTTTCTCATTGTGAATATTTCAATTGTTTTGTTAATGAATGCCTAAATATTATGCTTGCATCACCAGACGTGAAAGAAACTCAAATACAATAGAAGACATAATAAAATTCATTAATATGGCGACTCTATCCATGGATAACAGCAGATTTCTAAAAAAAACATTTTATTGATTAGTTATCTAAACGTGCGTATATGTTACGCAATAATATTGGTTAACAATTCTTCATGATATGAATTATAAAATCAGTGTAGCGAAGTTTCACTTTATTGTTTTTGTACATATTATTGTCTGCAGAAGTGGAATTTTTATTTACAACTATTCTTTCTACAAAATTGATGTCTAATGTACGCTATTTTCATTTCAATATCAAACTACGTTAGTCACATCAAATATGATAACTTTACAACACCAAGGTTTCGCTTTATGGTTGTCTAAAACATCAAAAAAGTCGATATGAAAAAAAGTTTTTTTAGCTATTATTTATCAAATAGAAAGGATTCATATAGTGTTGGCAATCGTTGAGATTGTGTAATAATAAGTATTAAATATAGTTTAGGAAAGAAAAGACATTAACATTATTATTTTTTTTTCATTTCATGATTTTTCTTTCCTTGTAACATGTAGCACTATATTTTATCAGAAAATAATGACTTAAAATACAAATTACCTTTAGGAATTCCACCATAAAAACACAAATTATTTTAATGACAACTGATTCTGATTGTTCAACTTAGATAATTCATCAGTAAAATGGTTTCATTATCATTATTTTGTCATACGAAAAATCATTATAAACTAATGTTGGTCTAGAAGAAACATTTTCTCTGCAACTTATTGTTATCATAAATATGAGAACCAATCGACTTTGCATTACGAATGGCTATATTAGATTAGTTGTATGAATTCTGTTGTCATACAATAATTCTATATTGTAATTTTTTCAATAAGATAAATACTATTCAATGTATATAGCAGGATAAAGTTCATTTATTTTGTTTGCGTTTCTAGTATATGAGATTAACATTGACTGGGAACAGTAAAGGCTCGATTTTTAACAGTATAAAGTTGGTCATGATAGTAACAAGTGAAAAAATAATAAAATAGTAAGTTTACAACTAATGCAACAATATTGAAGAGAAACTAGAGAAATAAGATGATTACATACAATTATGAATAGTATTATCTGCACCGCTGCTAACAGATTCAAATACAGAACTATTTCGTGTAATATACGATGATGAGATGTAGCTCGGGGAAAATAGTACCATCGCCGATAATTTTAATTATGTGAAAATTTAAAAATCTTAATTGTTCAGTTAATGTATGAAATCTGAATTCGATAATTTGCTGATTTGTATTGCTTCTTTTAGATTTGAGACAAAGTTCAACTACGGCGTGCTTGAATATTTATCCATCTCGGTTATTTTTATAATATCGGAATTTCTTTGATGATGATTTGCATTATTATTATTGTTATTCATAGATACTACAAGATTTTTAATCTTTTATTATTGAAATACTATTACGTTTTTTCACGGTGTGGGCGTGGGCGTTGATGAAAGAGACACTAAGATCAACTAACATCCACACCCCACACGCAGTCTTCGCTGAATCCGAATAGCATATGATTGATCGTTGTTATGGAATGATTCGATTAAATTTTCTAGTTGATTATTTAACGGAAACGTTTTGAATTATTTGGCATTTATGGTAATGAGTATAGTTTTCCAATTCTATTTCCATTATAGCCCTGAAAAGCAGGTGTTCATCTGAAGTTTGACACCAACATACGTACGAAACATACCATAGAGGTAATGATAGTTTTCATATTTTTATGTGCTAAATATAGTTATGACTGAGCTGTGACCTAATCCACTAATCAAAATATTTCATATTTCAGTCGACTTTAGCAGAGTTGAGAGGTGAAAAAGTGTGAAAATTTTCGTAATTTAGCACTTGTATTTCATTATACTCCATATCCTAGTAACTGCCGAATCCTTTCTTCAATGCGCTTCTTGTGGTGTGAAAAATTATTTAATTCACTTTTTCCCGCTCAGCCGCCAAATTTCCATTAGTGTTTCTGGATCAACTTTTATATTCAAAAGTGTTTTTTTAATAAAATGAAAATGTAAGTTATGTTCCGCTTTTGACTCACCATTCTCAGTATCCGACAGCGTGGAGCCATAGTGAATTAGGTTCTGTTCGTGAATAAATACCAAGGAAAAGCTCGTGTATCATGAAGATCTCGCTTTATCTTTGACTCGGCTAAGGGCTTTAATTGATTTAGGCCTAAATTTCTGCAGGCTAAATGAATAACATTTTCACTTAGTGTAGTGATAATATACTAACTTTTTCCATTATGTTTTTGAAGGATTCATGCAATATTGATTTTCAAATATTGATTTTTTGTATTATTGATAGATGACGCAGCTGATATTTATGTTAGCTGTTGGGCTATCATATTGTGCGCATTACGTATATTTACCCAAACCTGAAGAATCACAATTTCAATTCGCTGAAGAAGCCCGAGCAGCTCTGTGTCCATTTCTTGGCACTGAAGGAATGAGATGCTTTGATGGTAGCCCTGTAAAGTCATCTGGCAGAACGTTCGCTTCGACCTATTTGCAGTTGCCATGTGGTGTCGGGATGAGTGCTGATCGAAGATCTGGTCGACTCATCGCTCCAGCAATTAAACTAGCGTATCCACTTGAAGGGTGTCATACTGTAGAAATTGCTTATGGCAGATCCCGTGTCCAAAATTTTCGCAATGCTTCACAATTAAATGAACCGTGGCAACGTTCATTCGCCGATGGAATGGTTCGTGGTGGAGAATTAGCTCGTCCATCTGATATTCTAGAGTATTCTAATAAGTAAGTGTTTTACTTCAATATATTCGATTCCACTCAATTCATAGTCCTTATTTCTTCTCATATTTCTGTTGCTTTTATCACGTGAAGATGGGGGCGTCATTTTTTCAGTTCCTAATCGCACCATTTCACTACACACTTCAATTTTTTTTAAATTCTATTTTGTAGAAAATCGACTTTAAATAAGCTAAAGCATTTTTAAACTTTTATGATTCATTCATAGAATATCCTGTGCTCATTCATATAGGTATTCTATTCTTTTTACAGTGGCACTGTCAGACTTGAGTTGGGTTGGATTAGGTGTTTGAATATTCTTGAAACTTTTATTAGAGCACGACTATACAATGCTGATGAAGTATAAAGAACGAAAAGCTGGCCAATAATTGTTCAAACCCTCATAATAGTTCACCTGAAAGAATTTCTTCATTCGAGAAAAACTATAGTTGCATACTTGCATATAAAGTCAAATTCTTGTTGCGACGTTACTACGTAGCCTACTTCTCATAATCGTGTGCTTCTATGTAGTTATTTTAAACGTGATGATGCTCTAGCACTTTCTCAACGTGTGATTGGACTTTATACACTGACATTAAATATTTCGACTATTGAGCTTAATTCGTTCGCACGCGATGTAGTTTCGAAATTAACACCAAACTTTGATCCTGATCTTTATGAAGATTTTCTTGATACTTGGGGAACCCATATTATTACTAAGTCGCTTGTGGATGGTATGGCGGAGCAACAAGCTATAGTAAAACGATGTTTCGAAGCTGGTAACAATCATATCCTTGGTCAATGTATACCATTCTCTGATCGAGATCCAAGTAATTTCACTTGTGGCAACTATGCTAGCTTCGCAAGCATGATTTTGAACCGTCGTCTTGGAGGTGATATGGCACTTGAAAACGATTATGAATGGAAAATAACGCTCTCTATCGGGCCTGCTCTCATACAGATTCTCGAAATGGTTCTTTGGTATGATTTTGTTGCTGATGAATCTGTGAAACAAAACTTATGTACAATCATTCGATATCGACAGAGAAACATAGATTTAGTCCAAACCGAAGCAGTCCACCAAATCGATGCACGTTTATATCAATGTCATTTCGGTATGCTAAAACGAATTTCAATTACCAGATAAATTCTCAAAAACGTTCCATAACCTAGCTTGAGCACATGTTGCAGTAATGATTAGAGATGAGCCGTTTACCTTAATTTAAAATTAGATTAAAATTTTTCAACTAACATTTAAGATAACATGTTAACTATCTAGTGATCCATTAATTTTATATGAAGTCAATAAGGTTTAAACAGAAAATCTTAACACCAAGGAAGAAAAAGCTGATTTTCTGATAGCCAGGATTGCTAGTGAGTGCCGTTAAATACATTGGTCCACATCTTCTGATGATAGTAGCAGAGAGTCGGCTAATCCATTTTTTTCACAAGTCGATTTAGTTTAAATTGTATCAACGAGGGCTGGTTATTTGATCCTTCTCAATTTGGAGTAGACATGAATCGCTTCCAGTTAATTTAAAGGGTATCTGAATGTAATCGCACGAATTTATGTCACCACTTTATCATTGCTTTTTTCGTCGCAACTGAGGAATGTTTTTCATTCCCACAATACTCGCGATTCAGTTGAAGCCAAACTCCTATTTCTATTCGCGCTCGATTTCAGACATTCCACTGCGGACCCGTACAATTGATATTTTCCTGAATTCTCGATAGCAACAAAATGGTATCACGGTCGCTAGATGAAATTGACAAGGCAATGGAATCAATCAATTCTCGAACCCATACGGTTTGTATGTTGACGATGAGCAAACTGTCTATGTCGCTGATCAATCAAATCACCGTATTATGGAATGAAAATCGGATGCGACGAATGGTCGAGTGGTTGCCGGTGGAAATGGACAAGGAAATGAGACTCATCAATTATTTACACCATTATATGTGATTGTTGACAAAGAGAGAGAGAGATAATCTCATTATCTGCGATCATTTAAATACAAGAGTAGTTCGATGGTCTCGTCGAAATGGAACAAGTGAAGAAGCGATCATCTCCAATATGGCTTGTGTCGGTTTGACAATGGACGAGAATGGATCTCTCTGTGTCGTTGGCAACGGAAGAGCTGAAGTAAGTTGGTATCAAAGAGGAGAATCTCAAGGGGCAGTAGTTGCAGGTGGCAATGGAAGCGGATGCCGTCTCGATCAACTATCTGACTCGCAGCAAGTATTCGTCGATCGAGATCATTCAGTGTACGTATTTGAATATGGAAATCATCGTGTGATGAAATGAGTGAATAGTGCAAAACAAGACATTGTCGTGGCTGGTGGACAAGGACAAGGGACCAGTCTTACACAATTGTCATATCCCCGAGGAGTCGTTGTCGACCAATTGGGCACTGTCTCTGTGACTGATCTAGGGAATGTTCGAATCATACATTGGCCCAAAGGAGCCACACAAGGAAGTGTCATTGTTGATGGGAACGGTGAAAGAGGACAATCGAACCAGTTCAAGGACCCCATTGGCTTATCATTCGATCGACACGGTAATCTCTACGTCGTTGATGGCCGAAATACTCATGTTCAAAAATTCAATATCGATCTCAATATCTAAAGGCTCTCTTTCATTTTATTTATGTGTAACGAATTCATAATAGTATTTTTTATCTTTATTATTACCCAATTAAAATATTAATCGAAATATCAATTTATCGTGATGAAAGTTTCTTGAAAACTTGGGAATTCATAAAAAGTTTTTTTTGAAAATCATGGTGGCGGACGCGTGGTATTCCTCGGAATAGAAAGGCTTGAAGCACTCAGAGTTTTGAAATTTTTATACTACATAACAGGCTTCTAAGAAGTTAGACTTTCGCCAAACACGTGCATGTTATTTAACAGGAAATTCTTTATATGACAAAGAGGCTTGATAATAATCAGTACAGTAGAATACTTGGAATTCATCGATTTTCAGGTGCTACATTATGCTTGACACTCCCCAGTACCTAAGAATTCAAGTATTCTTGTTTTTTCTAAAAATTACTGGCATTCCTTAATATCTTAAAATTTTTGGAGCTTTGGGATTTCTTAGTCATTTGAGCATACCAAAATGATCAAAGGATGTGAGTATTCTCTGAGAAAGCTACAAAACATACACTCACACCCTTTAATTCATGATTCAAAACAAAATAATACGTAGATGTAAAATTAATAAAAAAAAACTTTTACGCTGAGAAATAATCTTAAGTAACGAAGAAAACATCATCATTGCAATGCATGCCCATTGTCTTTCCGCCAGTACTTGAGTTCACCACATGAATTAAAAGTTGACTGGTTTTAGTTACACTATTCTTTTGATTATCTTTTTTCGTGCTTCTTTGTATTTGCATCGTATTGATATCTCTGAGTTAATAAAAAAAATGCTCATTCATGCCAGTGAATTCTTATCGTGATCGTTCATTGTAATTTTTTGAAAATTTCCATAGAAATGTCGTTAAACGCTTTCTTAATTTTCATATTCAAAACCCGCACACAATGATGCTGATTATAATAGATTTTTTTAAGTAATGGGAAGAAGACATGAAAATGACGATAGAATAATTAGTTAGTTTTTGATAGATGACTGCATTTACAACACTATGGAGATAATTCAGTTAGAATTCTAGATAAAAAATGATAAAAAAACAAGCCGTATTTCAATTGGCTTACAGTGTTGAAGGAGAGCATTTTCAGAACTAAAATCGATATAAGCTTGACAAACTATGAATATCTAATCAGACAAACTAAAAACATCAGTTTTCAAATTGCCAAAAATCGTGAACAGGAAGATATTAGGTTAACGATTTCAATTGTTTTAACTTTCGTTTGTTGAAATGTCATCCAATAAAAGTGTTCGAACTTCCCTAAAATCTCGTTTTTTTTCTAATAATTTTCTATCACCTAGAAAATTACATCATGAACATGAATATGATAATTGCCTTGCATATAACGCTTCGCATAAAACTCCTGAACTTCTATTCATAAGAAAATATTCGATTTACAAATATTTAAGTATTCTTTAACAAATTTTCTTTACCCTTAATTTAGCATTCGATGAAAGCTCTCCATGCGCTTTATAAGCGCTGCTTCGTTGCATCAATTTAAATAAAACTTGAAATAATTATTCAAACTTCAGTAAACTGTTATTAATTGAAATGCATAGTCGTTTCAATTACATTGAGAAAAAAACCCAAAAAAATGTTTATTACGGTGTAAAAAAATCAAGTTTCACGAATCATTTGTTCAAATAAGTTTCGATTCAGTCCCAAAATCCTACCAAAAGTTCATGTACAATAGTCTGAAGAAAAAATAACAAAGCAATCTTTGATACATGTGTAAAATATAATTACTCGTTCACAGCAAGCATCCTCGTTTTGTTGAATTCGAATTGAAGTTAGATGAGATGCTATCAATAAGGAAGAATCAAAACAGTATGTTTAGATTGAATCTATTGTAATAACGATACTTATGAAAATGATATTCTAAATAATGAGAGAAAACGTGTGCCATCGTTTATTATAAACACAACCGTGAATGATTGATGAATATTCGCTTAGTGTGTCTTTCAGGGCCGTTTATGTACATTGAAATATTCTGTCTAGTCGATGCATTAACGAGCAGTAAGCAACTTCCGACCAAATCTGAGGGTAGATTTCTTTTTCGTTACAGGTTGAAACCCTAAAAGATGATTCAACGTTTTGACGCGAAAAATTTACTCTATGAGAACAATGGAATTTTCTTTATTTTTTTGCTTTTGTTTTACAAGAGAAAAACAGCAAACACTCTCAGAAGTGTTTGTATGGTGACTGTGCAAATATAGATTCTATTTCACTATATAAAATTTAAAAAAGTTTTATCACTTAAAAAAATACTTTAAAGCATTGTGAGATGTAACTGTTGTAACGATAAATATGCGACTTTGGTTTGGAGTTGATATTGTAATGACAGACTGGATAGAGGTGGAGTAGTCTACACTGAAAAAAATAAAGGTGCTGCACGGAACCTTTAAGGTTTGGTGGTACCTTATTAAACCCTAAGAGTTATAGTATGGACCTGCGAAACCTTTTGTAGGTTTAATACTAGAGAAAGTTCGGTGCGATCGTTTTATAAGGTTCTGAAGTGACAGAGGTTTCGTACCATACTTTTGTGAAAATCAAAGTTGAGCCAAGTTTCGCGTGGGACCCTTGCGCGTTTCGTAATATACCTCTAATAGGTTCCTCCAACTGAAAAATTGAAGTACTTTTCTTTTAAGTTCGCCATCGCAATCCTCCATGATGTACACTTATCCTTAAAGCTATCAATCTCAGCTACCCATGATAGACTTCTCAAATTCAATGTTGATATGAATGTATACTTAGAGCCAGTGCCATTTATTTTTTACACGTTGTCCAACGAAAATATTTGCCAGGTATAATTCCATCTTTTGAATGTCAATTTTTGTTTTTCTGTTTTAGATTACCCAATTCAAACATTTATCTCAAATTACATTCAATACTCACATTGCTCTTCAAATATTTGAGGTGAACAAATATGACAATTTTACTGGCAGCAATTATATTTGTTTCTTCTTCTGCCATAGATTACTAGAATTTATATTTGCAGTTATATTGTACATTGAAAGCGCTAAATTCCTTTCAAGTCATTTCATTCAACATTATTTCAGGTAATTCTACATTTAACACTATAACTATATCTTTGTTTTATATTATTAGGTCAAAATACTCGCTTCAGGTTTCATTCAACTTTCAAAAAGCTTCTTTCGTCCAAGCTGTTCACCTTAACAATATTTCAGGTAAATCTATATTTGGGATTACTGTATATCCTTCTTTCCTGTATTGTAAATTATTAGATAGAAATACTCTTCTCTATCTAAATGTAAATCTGAAAACTCTTTGTTTCGTTCAACTTGCAGAACTGAAGAATATTTCAGGTAGCTCAGCATTTTACATAATAATTTTCTTTTCTTTGCTGTAGCGTGTTATATATAAACTTTCACTTCAAGCTAAATTTAACTTCGAAAATTCTTTTCTTCGTACAAATCACTATGCAACCGAGTGGTATTTCAAGTCATTCTAACATTGAACAGTATAGGCGCTTTTTCGTTGTTGTAGATTATTAATTGGAAATATTTACTTATAGCTAGCCTCCACATATGTTTCTTTCATTCAGATTGCCCAACTAAACAATTTGGCAAATAATTTCAACGCGAAAACTACGATCATTTTTTTCTATTGCATGATTATTAAACCGAAGTATTGATATCGACATGGATGTCATATTTAAAGTTTGGCTCGGTTCGGATTATTCAAGTCAATAATCTGGTTATGGTCTAGTGTTTTTAATAGTTAGCAAGTCTGACTAATTCATTGAAATATTTTCTATTTGTGTCTTATGTAAAGCCAATGAAGTAAGGTTGTTAGTTTGGTATCCTCCTGTTACATTTTGAACGTCTCGTCGTGCCTTCCCTAGAGTCTTAATCTCTGAAGCTAAGATTAGGCAACTAGAAAGAGCATTTTGAACCCGTTCCGAACGGTAATCCTGGGAGAGTCGGCCTTAATTTGGGCGAATTTGAAATAATAGGAAGAGTTTGCGATGATACTCATGCAACTCTGACATTTCTAACTTATTATCTAGCCTAAGACACCAGACACACCAAAACATTTTAAACCGAATTAACCAACGAGATCGCTAGAAACGTTAAAACACTATTAAGTCATCTTTTTAAGACAAATTAGCGTTAATGCGTCAAACAGACAGGATTTCGATTCACCCATAGAAATAAATATGTGGCGCCTTCTACATCTACGTTTTTCCGAGCGCGACACTGAACAATTATTTTCTAGCGAATGCTTTATAATTGTTTTGCTATAGTTTTACTTCGTAAATATTTTTTCTCTGTTTTTCAATAGTTCTAAAAGTTTTTTAATAGAAAAGAAATACACGATAAATTTTTTGTCTATGTTTTGTAATATAATAGCTTGCCTTTGATCGAATGATCTATTTTAAAATAGATTTTATTTCATTAATTTATTAGCAATGGTTTTGAGAATGATGTGTTATTAAGCGCACACGTACGTTAGTGACATTTCTCGTGCATTAATAATTTTTACTATGCACTTTACATACATGAAAGAGGCTTTTTTTCACATTTTCATTGGTGGATTAATATTTTTTGGTGTGGACACCTGTTGAATTAAAACAGAAATAATTTTGACGAATTTTCGATGTGTCTGAGGTCTAAGTTTCAATGTCCTTTTTTTATTTCACATTGAATAGCGATGACAAATTAGTTCGTATCAATTGTTTATGCGTACATACAGATGGCGAATGATTTCTTTTTTCCTCCATTCTCTATATAAGTTTTTACGTCGACGCTACTGTCTATGTGCGCGCTTATCAACTGCCGTGATTAATAACCACTCGAAGAATTTATTTCCTTCCGGAATGATTCTATTATGATGGCTAATTTTAGAATTATTTTCATTTTTTGTTGTTATGCATACAGCATCAAGGACTAGTATTCAACAACGATCATTAATTTCACAGATGTTTCTCATATGTTTACATTTAATCCAACGTCTTTTAGTAGCAAAATTTTTCGTTGGACTTTTTATGGGGATTATTTCTACTGTTATCGTATACAATCTTAAAGAACCAATAGAAAAGCCGAGATTTCGTCCTGATCAATCAAAGTTTGAATATGAAAAAAATCAACAAACTTTTGATGATAGTAATCCAAGTAAACCATCAATATGGAATAGTTCATGGGATGGGTAAGATAAAATTGAAATTTTTTCACCAAAAAAAAAAATTAATATTATTTTTTCTACAATAGTTTTAAGAGTGAAAATAAATTTCCACGTCATTTCTATTTAATTCGACATGGTCAATATTTTGATAATGCTCGAACAATGGAAGAAATGAAATTAACATTACTTGGCAAAGAACAATTAGAATATACAGGAAAACGTTTAAATCAGACGAAAACACACTTCGACCGTTTAATTCATTCTGGCATGGTCCGTGCATTCGAAAGTGCAGTTATAATCAATCAACAGTTTGATTCGAAACTTGATTTAATTGAAGATAAAAGTCTGTCAGAAGGTTTACCTGTTGCACCTATTCCTTATGCAGGAATTAATCAACGAGATATTGAAGTAAGATCAATTGTTTTCTTAAATCATCGATTTTCTTATTTTAATCTAAAATCATGTTAGACTTATGGTGATAGAGCAAGAATTGATGGAGCTTTTGCAAAATATTTTCATCGAGCGCGTAGTGATCAAAATAAAGAAACACATGATATTATTGTTTTTCATGCAAATATTTTACGTTATTTTATTTGCAAGTAAGACTTCAAAGAAATTTACGCTTGGTCATCTTGATTATTCTTTTTTCATTAGAATAATGCAATTTCCTGTCGAAGCATGGTTAAGAATAACATTAAATCACGGTTCAATAACACAAATAACTATTTTAAGTGACGGTGGTATTGTATTGAAAACAATTGGTGATAGTGGATTTATTCCAGCGAATAAAGTGACATTCTAGTCTTTGGTTATTTTAATTATTTTTTCGAGGGCGATAATAATCTCATGTAATTCTGTTGTTTTATTTCTTTTTGAAATATTGTAAAAGATTGGTTTTTGTTTTGGTTGTTTTATTTTATATGATCCTAATGCCATAAGTTATGTAGAAATATACCCTAAAAGCATGAAATAGCGAATATTAAATTATTACAATTGAACTTGTTTTTTCTTGATTGATCAACTTGGAATTTTATTTATGTTTGAACTATTTTTGAAATAATCAACAACCAGATCTTATTCATAAAAGCATCTGCAAATTTTGACATCATTTAATCAAAATAAATTGATTGCATTCAGTGACGAACCAATCGGAAGAATGCAATTCTATTAAACATCTACTATTGAAAATTCGTTCGATCAAAGATTAAAATAGTCTTCAGATTTTTATCCAATCTGATAGCTACGTTAGTATTTGTTCTAGTTGAGGGTGTGTGGACTTTTGATGGGAAAAAAACTACGCCCTCAAGTTATCGAGTGATCTATTCCTTACTGCATATGAGAAGATAGATAACTTATGTTTATTTTTTCATATAACACAGCATCAAAGAAATACTGCCATTTTTTCAGTGTTCTAACGAACATAAAACATGAATCTCAGAATGTTGAAATTTTAGCCGACTGGTGGTATTTGCTTTTTGGATTGTACGTGTGACTGGTGCGACAATTCATACAGATATTGATCCTTGGTGAAGTATTTTTCTTTGAAATATTTTCTTTTTGTCAACTGTCGACGTAAGACAGATGAAAGGAAAGAGAAAAATAACAAAAAAGCCCAAAAAATAAAGATAAGGTGTGAAATCTGCACCAATATAGTACGACATACCTAACGAATAAGCAGCTTCAAAAGTACAGAGTGACATGTTTGAAATAAGACTGATTATAGAGAATGGCATGAGTTGAATTGTCATTCTTCGCTGCTTTCGTCATTGAATTTGTTGATGTATATGATGTTTCCGCCAGATTACTCGTAAAACGAAAGTAAGACTGAAAAATGCTTCAAGCATTGTTGGTAAAACACTATTGGCAGACAAATCGTATAGATAGATATTTCTATTATCTAGATAGCATGGATACGAATCGCCAGTTGGTCATGTATAATCATAAAAATTTTCACAAGGATAATACTAAATATAATAAATTAAAACGTATAAGATTAAAAATAACAATGGCAAATAATGTGAAATAATGCGTCTTTTTCTTGTTAGTATCCAACGATCATGAAATATAATGATATGTCGCTCGAAAGACAACCAAGACGTAAGTAAGGTTGCTCCACTGTATAAACCAATATCTGTAAAATACCAAATGAGACCAACCCATGGCTTCGCTGGAATAACAGTAGAATGCACAATAAAGTTAACATAGAATGGTATGTCGATTAACTGTACGCCCAATCCAAAAACTAGCGAAAAAATGAGAACATGATTCTTCACGTTAGACCGTGATTTTCCATTGAGAGAGAGATAAAAGAGAACAACGAGCACACACAAAATGGATGTAATATCGAACAGAAGCAAAATCCAAAAGCGAGCCACACGTGGTAGAGAAATTTCGATGCTACCAGGCGAACTGTTGCTTGCATCGGTGCAACTTTGACTGTCAGACATTACTGAATATTTCAAATTAATGTAAAAAAAAGTCTTTGAGTAACACTCCACTATCAGAGCATGAGATTCATGTATTGAATAGAAGAGTATTAGTAAAGAGAAAAAGTAGTAAGTGTGAAATGCTTTTTTTCGTTTCGTTCAACAAGTATATTTATCTGTTAGAGATTTTAATAATGAATGCAATGATAAAAAACCTCTTTAGCATATTCCTCCAGACACACAGTATGTGAAAAGGAACAGATAATGCAAAACTTTATAATAAATTATAAGTGATTAAATATGTTGCTACGTTTGCCCATTTGCATTTTTGCCATCATAACGATGATGAGAGAAAGCACCTGATCTGGGATTCTTTCATGTAAACTAACTCATACTGCCATCGAGATAATTTTCTATTGCCATTTGCAGCTCTTTCGGGCTCAGTTCGGTAGTAGTTCGAATAGGCTATAGCTTTTATGAAATCGAAATATAAAATAACATGGTGCCTAATTATTTTCATTTTCGGATCACATTCTAGAAAATTTTTATTAAGCAGTTAAAAGACATACAACTGAATTTCAATTATTAACTATATGCGTCAGTATTCATATGGGGAGTAGAAAGATGCCGGTGAGTAGGATAATATGTTTATCTGACGATCGAGGAATACGATGTAATAGCACCCTTTACAAATAAGTGTAGTTCTTGTCAATCAATCCATGTTCTTTCATCTCTTTCCAAAAACTTGACGGTATAACCGCATTTAATACCGTTGCCATTTCTATATTCTCTTTAACACAGTTCACATCTGTACCATTTAAGGCAATACTATTAACTCCCGGTGCATTTAGTCCAAATACGATGCATACTTGAGCCGGTTTAATTCTGTATTTATTGCATAGTTTAAAAAAACCTATACGCCACTCGAACAGTTTTTGGTCGTTCAGAGGATCCATCAGTCTATAATTATAATAATCTTCGCCAATTAAAAAGCCACCATTAAATACTGCTGCGTTGATAATGATTGTTCCACGCCGTTGCAGTTCTTCCATAAAAGTAACTAGTTCTTGGGGATGATTGTGTACAGTCATACTATTAGCAATCATTACCCAATCTATATTAACATCGTTTACAATACGTTTTATCATTCTCCAATCTTTCGACCCTATACCAATGGCTTTGACTTCATCTCGATTCTTCAATTCGCAAAGTGCACGGTAAGCTTCAATAATGTCATTGTACCGTTTATCCTTTTCTAGCTGACTGTGAGCACCAGCAATATACTCATCTGGATCATGTACCGATACAAGTTCAGCCTTGTAACCATTCAATAACTGATTGCCTTGCTCGTAACATTCAAGTATACCTCCGTAGCTGATCTTCTGTACTGCATCATATTTCAAATTACGCCACACTCCAGGTTCAAATGTAGGATCTATGCCATTTTGAAGTTCACTAGTTCTATACCAGCCAAGTTTATTACTAATCAGCACATCCTCTGGCTTTACATTTAGCGTTTTTAAACAATTGCCCAATGTTTCTAAAGCTAATCCAGCTCCATATTTTCCAGCACAGTCAAAAACGACCGTTTTTTGTGCTGAAGTATATTGCATGCATGCTGTAACAATTTCAAGTTTGATTTTATCTTCAAGGGCCACATATAGATTTCCTAGTGCACTAGTTCCAAAGATTAATTTCGGTAATGTTATTCTTTGTGACATCTTAAAGAAGGCAGGTGGCTAATATGTGGAACTCGAATATTTTTTAAACTTAATTATACTAGTACAAAACATAAAAAATCTCTCAACAACCAAAGTTCTTTTCACATAATGATGGATTATCAGTAAAGGTTGTCTGTTTTCCTTCCATATTCTGAACAATAAATCTTTTTATGGGTCCTCTATTTCTCGTTTAAAAGAATTGCGATTTGTCTCGTATTTCAGACACATCCAGCGCAAAATCAAGCAATATCACTACAAATCGTTAGATGTTGAACTATACACTTGCTCAGACTACTTTCATTTCATTTTGCAGCAAAAACAGTGGCTGTAGAAAACATTTTTTGATTCTAACTTTTCTATTCCTAACGTTATAGAATGTTCAGAATAACATTACTACCTAGTCTTTATTTAGAAGGCCACCATTATCAGAAATTCGAGGGTTATTCTATGATTTTCGCAAAAAATCTGGTCTCAAATTCAACAAAATATAATTAACCCAAATAAATACAAGTTTCACATAAGTTAATAACCGGTTTTTGTCAAAATTTTGATATTTGTAAGATGGTTTTTGGGGTAATACAAACAAATCTTGTTTTTCTTTGAGAAAGAGCTGCCTCTAACTGACTTACTGTTGCCTCACCATTCGGGTAACTTTTAGAATCGAGACCTTTTTTTGAAGTATAAAATGAAAACATATCAATCAGTTTTGCTCGACTATAAGTGAAAAAAATGAGGCTTTCCCGTATAGCCAGAAGACTAGACAGTGTTAAGTTACAATTTCTAAAGAGGCTATTTGGGAGTCCAGTAGTCACTATGAAAAATTATGGGAGTTTCAGATCTCCGTCTCTCTCGGTTCCGCATGAATGAAGCACTCTCGGAAAAGGTAACTATCTAGGTTCGACATTTCGGAGAATTCCAAAAACACATAACATATTCAGGCTATGTTTAATTTCATCTCTTTTGGAAAAACCTCATTTTCCCACGCTCAGAGAAAAAGCTGCCTTTTAAAAAATTTTACAACTGCAAATTATTTCATTTGGAGAGCATAAAATGGATGTCACGATAATCAACATGGAGGATAGTTCAACGGAGAAAAGTAATTTTATGGAGAATATTGATGAATGTAAAATTGAGATAAGTATAGACTTGTAGGATTCTAGAATAGTTTCCAAGCTACCTATTTCACTATTTAACATTACGAAAATGAAATGTATATGTTTTTCTGACAACTTATTCTCTCAAATGTGGTCTACTACTTTTGATCAAGAACTATTCACGCAATAACTATCATCAATGGTTGATTCTTTGTGTCGAGATGTGGAGAGAATAGTAAAAATCATGTCTCACTTATCTGTTGTAGGTCTTTTATTAGCAATGCATAGGAAAGAAGTGAAAAATACTTTATGGGCACCCGTGTGTATACAGAGTGAAAGATAGATAACGATAAAAATGAATAAAGCAGGCAAACAATAAATAAATTCATACTTATCTCTAAGGAATAGAACAGAGCTGGTTGAAAACTACATATATGAATGTGAACTAAAAGATTTCGTCGGACGATGATCTGCCAAGGGGGAAAGTGCTGTAGGTACTGGTAGGTGCCAAATTCAGCACAATAATAAAGTGATAGCATATGATGCGATGAGAGCGCTATCTGGTGTATTCACTTTTTATCATCAAAAAACATTAATTGAGGTGTAAAAATCGCATTCGCTCTTCAATATATTAAAAAAGACACATTTTGCGTAATTGTTGTGCAGTAAAAGCAAAAAGCCAGAATAAATAATTGATATTAGATGATTAGGTCTGATGAGTTTGCCAATCAGAAATGTAGAATTCATCCGTGATTATAGGAAAAGCCGGCAAAATAACTAATTATCTCTTTATAATCCTTTTCAAACCTACTCACTTACAAAACAAAAGCCTTTCCCTATATATATCTTACTAGTTGATAGTAATTGTTTCGATTGTTCATGTACGTTTTACAATAGAAATCTGTTTATTTAAGATAAATTATTTTAGTTTGGTTATATCAATGGTCACTGAAAAGTTAAAAAAAAAATAAAAATTGTTCACCAGAAGACATTTTCAGTTAGAATCATACGGTACTGATCTTGCTTAGTTTTTGAGTTATCAAGTGATCAGAAATAAAGCGCATCTCTTAGGCACATTATGAGGTGATATTTTGTTCATTTTGCAAATAGAATTCGAGATGATTAGTGTATGTAGAAAAGTGTGCTATTTTCAAGCTGCCAATCATAAATATCAAGTCAAATTAAGTGTTAAACTTGCGATTAATAATTGAATCCAAGCAGGGGGAGTGTGTGGATGTTATGAGAATATCAAAGTCGACATACCTACATCCACCTATATGTTTCTCGTAATATCACATGGTATTTTGCGTCTTTCGATTTTGTAGTAAAACAGTCAATGCAGCTTTGTAGAGAATTGAACAGGGAATCCTTTCGTAAAAAACAATTCACCTCGATCAGGTTCAAAGAAGAGGGAAAGTCTTACACATAATAAGAGTTCGATTATTTATGGCTCAACCGTTAGATCTATGATATTATATGTTCTTCATATTTACGTTTTTGTTGTATTAGTCATTACTTTTGAATTGGGATTTGTTTCTGATCTTGTTTTGTTATTATCACTGTAAGATTGAAAATGCTCGCTAAAAAAACGAAATTTTTCTTTTTACCTAGCCTTGCCTTATGTACATATCAGAGACGTGCACAGGACATCATTTTTTCTCCTGTCCTGTTGACTGCCTAGGTCCTGGCGGGCGGCAGAACAGGACAGGACACCAGAACCACCCTGCCCTGTGCACGTCTCTGGTACCTATAAACAATTTCTACGTTGATTATTTGTTTATTGTTGATAAATAGGTCGTGCAGCATGAAATTTGACGGGTGTGCGTGTGTTTTGAAGCATACTAGGACCGGTTTCGATCTTGCTGAAGGTTCTCTTCAAGTAGTTTTTCTCTTCGTAACTGCTCAAATGATCGGAAAAGCTTGTTACCGTAGTCATTTTGGAGGTAGAATGTGGGCTCACATATGATTTTTCGCCTAATCCTACTAATACACAATACGTAAAGTGTGAAATGTGCTGCAAGACAATCGATCGGTAGAAAAAAAGGCCTGATTTAGTTTTTGCATGCTTGCTAATGTCTGTAATGTAGGGTGGTTGCCTATTATCGGGGATCTGTCTGTATTGAGGAGGGGTGGGGGCCGCAAAAATCTCACTTTTAAACTTACGCGCACCATTTTCTTCGAAAAGATGTGTGAATACCACAAAACAACTCAAATTATGAAACATAAAGTATCAGTATGGAGTGTGAGCGCAGATGTTGTTATTTAACTCATCTATTTCGAGAACAAGACCAAAACTCACACTCTACTACTAGATGTGTAAGCCGTCCTACCGACGATTATTTGTCTTCTTATGACAGATGCAAGGCCCATCTTCGGCTGGGTACAAGATAACACAGGTCTTTAACGACGCAGCTTACATGTCTGACTAAACCTAGCAATAGTTGTAGAAAAACTATCGGAATGTCGGGACCGTGTCTTGGAGACACCCTATTACATAAAGTAGCCGAACAATAGAGAAATTTTTCTTCTCTACTTTTCTCCGCAAATTCGTTTTTCAAACCGTTTTTGCAGCTTTTTCATTGGCTAAAACGTTTCTAAAATAAAATAAAAACTAATTAGTATAGAAATCAAAGCAGAGAAAAGGCATCTTCATCAACTTGTAAAATATTCTACTTCTTCAACAAGAATTATAGGTAATGGGCTGACTTTTTAAGGAAAAACCACCGTCCAGGCCAAATCATTGAGACATCTGGTCTACATCCACAACCAAATCCAGAATTCCATACGCACCCCCACACTACAATCGTACACAACGCCGTAATGTTACTTCCGAGACAATAAAATGATTCATTTCAATTGCAGCAAAATTATTTTTACTTGTCCAATGATGTTAATTATGATAATAGGTTGGAAAACATCACAATCAAAGCATGACATTTTTACTATTTTTCAAATTAGAAAATAAAAACAATTTAGAAAAGTTCTTTTCTTCAACGAGCACAGTAAAATTTCTGCATTAATTTTCTTTTTTTGAAATAGCGCTTTGTTAGAAGTTCGTAGTAACTGCGTTCTGTTTTTGCTAGAAAGAGGAAAGAATCATGAAAGTCTTCGGACAATAGGCAACGAAAAGCTATTCTGAAATTTATCGGAATTTATGAATGATTTCATGTGATCCAAGTGTTTAGAATGATAGACTAACGAACTTACCGTATGATTTTTATCACTGTCGATTACAAACAAAAAGAAAACGATTAGTTCGATTGAGCGGTTGCTAGAAGTCATATGCTTCACAATTGATTACAGAACTTAGATTCTCTCTGAGATATGGAGTCAAAGATCATTTGACATTATAAACCTCAAGTTGAGCTTTTCAATCGAACTGTATGCTGTTTAATAACTTGTATGCTAGACCAACTAATTTAATATCATGCAAAAGCCTTCACTGTAAAAAAACAAATCTAAAAATATGCAGTCCGAATACAACGTAAGTGGATAGTGATAAGGCCCAAACAAATGTATTTTAATAAAAACCATTGTGAGCAAGGAGGCGAGAATTGTTTTGGCACTGTTTGTTCAAAGATTTTTATTTATTTTGTGTTTGAAAAGCACTCCCAATTAAAATTATTTAGATACTTTTCTCTTTCTAATAAAAAAAGAGTACATTTTACGGCATTCCACCGGTTAGCTGCATTCTCTTCTGCTTATTATTTATTTAAGTATGTTTACGAAATTTCTCTCAATTATATTACTGTGTTCCAGAACATGCTTTTTCAAATCGGCTTCATTTATATAACATTTAATCATCTCATATTTGATCGAGCTATCTTTTGTTGCTACAGCAATCATTCCATCAGAATCTTAACGAGAATTCGGAATAAATTAAGCATAACCAATTTCAGTCTAGACATATTTCATCTTATTTTAGAAAATGTTTCAATTAGCATCTCAAAAAATTGAACAGTATCTCGTGTAAAAATCTACAAGCCCAGATCCATTGATCAGTTATCGACTCCATTATTACTTTAAATTCTTGTAAAATAAGTCTTGCAAGAGAAGAACGTGAGATAGCTACAAATCGGAATCAGACAACATTTTTAGGTGTCTTGCAGATCTCAGCTCCATAACAATTGTAATGTCAAACGCATAGATGGTTGTTTTTAAAATATTTGACTGGCAAGAAGATACGTGGGCTTGTTTTTCTAGTGGAAAGAAAAAATATAATGAACATAATATTTTTTTAAAGTGAATTTAGTCAACTGTAACTGTGAGGCATTTTTCAAAATCATTATTTAAATACTCAGCTAATAAGAAAGAACAACTTATTTCTGATTATTTTCAATCTCTGGAAGTTCTAAGAAGAAAAACAACACGCCCATGAAATAAAACTTGTAATCTTTTTATATCAAATAGTCATGAAAGCACTTGTTGTTGGTCGGTGGATCAAAGAACGAGCAGTGCAATTGAATCTGTTCGAAAATGAAGGTACTCGTTTAGATGTCTTTAATTTGCGAACTGCACTCATCTCGACTCGTGTCTATATTGTTCTCCTCACATTTGCCGTCGCTATTCTCGTTTTGTACACTGCACTGTATGGCAACACTCAAAATATTACAATTCAAAATCCATCACAAATGACCTATGAAATTTTGTTCAACAAATATCCGACGACACTTTTGTGTCGGTGCAGTCAAGTTACCATTCCATATGGTAAATTCATTTCGGTATTTACTCGATATCATCCGATTTGTTCAAGTTTCTTCGTCTCTCAAACCTGGATAAATATGCTGTTTAATCCAAATATCAGCTATTATATACAGATCGATTTTCGCTCATCCGCGAGTGGCCTATTTCAATTGCTGTCATCATATTGTTCTTTTGTCAACAGATCAGTGAATGATGCTCTAGACGATTTTCTTTCAAATTCTCTTCTTTCTATGTATGTTCTTTCATCACAGTCTCTCGACATTCAAATACAAGAGGAGAGTTTATTTGTGCAAACGTCTACGGCCAATAGTATTCGTCGACTTATACGTCTCATTCGCAATACAACCTACAGCAATCATTTACAGCCAGCATTACAAACATCGTCAATGGCTGCACTGTATTTTTTTCCTGATGGTCAAATTGCCTCGGGTGTACTAGATGGTTCTTACATTCAAACCGATGGACTACAATGTTGGTGTAGTGTTTCATCTAATTGCTCTACAGCTGTTGCATTTTTTGATCTTTACGCTTATGATACCGGGGGAGTCTACATATCACCCACTTTGCCCATTGCTAATTTGAGTGGATTTGTGGTCGGATGCTATGCGATCGAGTCTCTTTTGCGATCAACACTCGAGTGTTTCTTTGATAAAACATGTCTGGATACGTTGGATAGATTCTTTCCAATTACTAGTATAACTAATTTCGATGTATTAAGTGCCAATCAAACACGATTTCCTCGGCAAACATCCATAGAAACATTGATTAATGAGTTATTCATCGAAGAATGGTCTACAGTGATTTCGTTCTCCTCCTATTACCAACAATGTGCTCCCATGTCATGCACATATATGTATGTGCAACACAATAATGTTCTGTATATTTTGACTACGCTTTTGGGTCTCTATGGTGGACTCACTGTTGTTCTTCGTCTCTGTGTATTATATTTCATCGACTTCTGGCGAAGAAGATCTATCCGTTCTGCAGATACCAATACAAGTAAGTTTATATGAGCCATGAAATGCAGCGAGAATCTCTCTCTCTCTCTCTCTCTCTCTATCCATTCCCCCATCTATCTTTTCACAGTAGTGCCACCAATTGAGCGCGTACGAGTAGCATGGCGGCGTGCACAAATTAACACACTTCAGTTAAATCTATTCAATACTGATAAGGCACGCACTGATGCTTTGGAATTACGCGTTGGGGTCATTTCCACTCGTATCTATATTATTCTTTTGTGCCTGGTTGCTACTGTCCTTACCATCTTCAATGGGTTAAGAACTCAACTTCAAAATGTTTCGATTCAGAATCCATCTCAAAGAATTTTTGAAGACTTACAAAAAAGTTACCCAATTACGCTACAATGTCCGTGTAGTGAAATAGCTATCAGTTTCGATTCGTTCTTATCATTATCTCCGACCTATCACCCAGTGTGTTCCAGCCCTTACGTATCTTTCGACTGGATCAATTCCATTGTGGGAACAGTGAATCTTAACTTTTCATACAGCTATACGGATTTTCATATGGTTGGTGAAGCATTTTTCAGTAGTATAGCTACTTTATGTTCACTCGCTCAATCAACAATATCTGATAATTTGTATATTTTCAATCAGACCACATTGATTACAGGTAGCGCAGTGTCTTATGCTGAGTTAATGGCACATGCAGATGCTGCTCTCAATCAATTCAAATTAAACACGCTGGCTGAATTCAGGCGTGCTCTTTTGCTTATTCAGCTACATACAGATGCCATGTTTTCGACAGCACGAGGCAATGCCGATTTATACACTTACCAATTAGTAAGCAATATCACACAGGTAACAAATCTTCACGTTTGGTTGACTCTCTCTTGGTACGAATAGCCATTTGATACAGTATAATGAATGAGTACAGTGTCAATAAAATTTAACAGGGATCGGATAGAGATATCTGACTTTTCACTAATTGAGCGAACAGTTTTAGTAGTACGGTGTGGGTGTGATCGTTCTAATCACCTGACCATCCACCCACGCTCACACCCTGTGCACAATGCATGACTTTAAGTTAAGACATCAACTGTTCATAATGTGCGACTTTTTATTAGGCAGATCGTATTGACTTCCACTCAGTACCAACAATGTATGGCAATTGTTCATGTGCGCTCAACGACTATTGTCAGCAACAAGTATATATGTATTCGAACGGAAATGAAAGCACGTACGAAATAAAATTTCCTATTCCAAACGTTTTCATTGGCTGCTTCGTTACTCAATCTGTTCTTCAATCAACGCTTGAATGCTTCTTCAATAAAACATGCTTAAATGCTGTACAGGCTGAGATTAGTTCAGCGCAATCCATCAATGTATCCGTTCTTGATTCAAACTTGGCTAGATTTTCATCTGAAATGTTCATTGGTACATTGATCAATGCACTTATGGTCGACCGGTGGGCTCAAACCGTCCAGTATAGTCAATACTATGTACAGTGTGCACCAGAATTGTGCACCTACACATTCACTGCTCGCAATAATGCATTGTATATATTGACAACAGTGATTGGCTTGATTGGTGGGCTTAAAGTCATCCTTAAAGGCATTGGTTCACTAATATACGGCTTGATACTATATCAAATGCAACCACGAATCACAACAAATAATAGAGCAGGCAAGTTTTACTAATAAGTGACATTAATTTCATTATATAAGATTCATTCAGACCGGGCAGAATAGTCCTACACGAAAAGGGTGTGGACGTAGTTGAAGCTAAGATCTACAAGTACATCCATACGTTGGATTTTCTTTCATTTTGCTTTTTCGTTCATCAGGCTATCCTACGGTAAATGAATGTGTGCGTTTAATGTGGCGCTGGTTCAAATCAAAAGCATTGGAATTCAATATCTTCGATAGTGAAGCGATATGGGATGATGATCGTCGCCTAACAGCGATTGTCGCTACGCGTGTTTATGTTTTTTTACTCATTTTTGCTAGTACCATTGTCGTTATTTATACACTAGTGGATACGCAGATTCAAAAAATCACAATACGCAATCCATCTCAAACAATATTCGAAGAGCTCCAGTCGAATCCACAATATCGCTCAACACTCGAATGTCCTTGCCAATATGTTAGCATTCCTCTTGGTGCCTTCATTTCGATCTCACCTAAGTTTCATCAACTTTGTTCAAGTGATTTTGTTGTTTCCAATTCCACATGGATAACACTAATGTACTCCCGTTCTGCTGGTCTCAAGTTTGCCTACGACGATTTTCGCATCTTTGTCGTACCAATATTCAAATATCTTACATCACTATGTATTTTTTCCAATGAGACACTGACCGATGCGTTGAATATATTCATATCGAATACATTTGTAAATGATCGAGCACAATCTCGTGATACCATTGAGACACAAGTCAATGATTATCTCGTTCAATTTCGTTCATCGACACTTCGAACATTTGTGCGCACGCTCGATTTTGTTCGATATACAACACAAGGCAATGGGATTGTTTCATCCGCCATGTCCAATTGGCATTTTCTTTCGTTGAATACAAGCACCAGTTGGACATCCCTGTGGAGCGAGCCTCGATCGTATGGTGGCAATTGTTCATGTGAAACAAATGCCACGTGTAATTCGCCAGCATACATCGATGGATGGCTTGTGCCCGGCTTTCTCGTTGGTTGTTATCCGCATGAAGCTCTTCTTCAGTCAACATTGGAATGTCTCTATGATATTATGTGTATTAATCAACTCAAAAGCATGTATTATTCGTCAAATGTCACTATTCGTCCACTCGATTATAACATCTCTTCTCCCAATGTATCTGTTCAATCACTTGTGAATGAATTGATGCTCGATCAATGGGAAAGTACTGTGACCTATGAGCAATACTATGCTAAGTGTGCGCCTCTCTTGTGCACCTATTCGATTAGCCACCGAGCAAATATAGTGTACAGTATAAGTACTGTCTTTGCGCTACATGGCGGACTGTCGGTTGTCTTAAAATTTCTGGTTCCTATTACAGTTAAAATTGGACGATATTTGATAAGGTATCGTCAACAACGAGTTCAGCCGATGACGACTGCATTTGCCGCTCGACAATAATCAATCGTACAAGCAAATATTTTTCATGTTTGACTTTGCGTTGTTCGCAACAAATATACAACCGTATGCATGACGTATTATAGTTTTATGAGCTAAGGGTGTGGCTGTGGATGTTGGCATTGATTTTATTCCTTTAACATCCGCACCCTTTTTTATGTCACTCTCGCTTTTGTAATCATTATTTAGTAATATATATTTATTAAATGCAGAAATAGAAAAAAAGAAAAACACCACAGATGATATAATATGTTCAGTTTTTGAGCAAGAATAGAAACATCGATGAAAAATTTTAAAAAACTTGTTGAAAGACTAATTATTAGTAAAGTAGACAAAATGAACAAGAGTTTGCTTGAAAAGAAATGCCGATATTATATGAAATAGAGCGTTCAGATCGCAGATTATTCATGTTGACGTGATTTATCATTTTCTAAAATAATAAGATTATCATTAAATGCCGATAGAAAAGACAAACAATCAATCATTTATTTAATAATTACTGTAATATTTTATATTTATCTTTTTCACTAATATTTATTGGTGGTTCACATTCGAATGATGCAAGCATTAAAGCTAAAAATAAATTCCATAAAATAATTCGAAGAAACGGATAAATAAAAATTTACAATCTTCATTGAATGTTGGACTTGTTATTATATAATTAATAACATCATCATTTCGTTCAAATGAACACTTAGATATAAATAAATAAATTTTATTTTCTTATTTAAAAATATTTTATTCTCGAAACAAAACAAATAACATACTTTACTTTGTTTACATCTTTGAAATTCTTCTGAAATAAATTTCGCCATTGAATAATATTTCTAAAAACAGAAATAAAAAAAAAGAAGAAGATGAAAAAGGAAAAAGATACTTTAAAATTAATTGTTCTATCTGAATTATAATCTTGACTATGTGTTTTAATAAAATAAACGTCTTGTAGAGTAATACTTAGAAATGGAATAACAAATTTATCTGTTGTCCATTTATTTTTTTCAGCTTCTTCCATCGCAAGTTTATATATAAGACGGTAAGTTGAGAAATTTTTCGATACATTTATATATTCTTCTAATTGATGAAATTTTTCCATTTCAACTTTTTCCCACTAAAATTATTCAAATTAATATTGAAAAAGAAAAAAATAACTGATGTATTTACACTTCTTTTTAATCGTTTTACAGGTTGCATATTTAAACCGCCTAAACAAAAACAAACAGATTTAAATATTAGAGAATTTCAAAGAAACGATATTATAAACAAAAGCTAATAAAAAGGCGAAAGAAATCTTACTAATAATAGCAATCATTGAATTAAAATTGTGTAAATGAAAACATTGATAAGCTGAATCAATAAAAAAATTTATTAATTTAACTCTTGAACGTTTTTGCGTATGCTTAACAATTTCTGTTGGAATAAAGACGGTTAATCGATTAAACCATTGAATATATAATTCAAGACAAAATGTCAATTTTTTATCATGTATCAAACTTTTCGAGCTTTTATTTTTATTGCCATCGGATTCTTCTGATGCAAATTTCATTATGAAATATTGAATTAATTCTTCATCGCCAACGGATTTTAATCGATCCTAAAAATAAATATTATTTATTTATTAAATTGAATTATTTTAATTTATACAAGTTCAATATGAGTTAATTGTTGTGCGAATAAGATTGATGTTGAACATTCATGTATAATATCTGTCTAAATAAAAATCGTTTCTTTGATTTTTCTTAATTAAAGAAATAAAATTCACTCACAACTAAATTCGATTGAGTTAAATTAAACATTGTTTTCTTATTCAATTGTTTTATGTATTCTTCATAATTATCTAACGATTTCAGCTTTACAAAAATAATAATTTCTTCTATAAAGATATATTATTTTAATTCTAAACTTTACTTTTAACTGAAGTTTTTTATAAATATGATCTAAATCTGATTGAAAATTTGGTTGAAACAAAATTAATTTCTTAAAAAGATCTTGCAGTTGTGAAATCATTTCATTATTTCTGAAATCATATGGAAACGTTCGTGTCCATTGAGATAAGATGTATATATAATTTTTTATGGTCCGAATACTTTCGTCCTTTCAAAAAAAAAAAGATTCAAATAATAATAAAAATGTCGAATCTTACTGATGTCATATTCAATATTGATTTAATTGTTAAATTTGCCAATCGATTAAATAATAAACTTGGTCGAATATTCATTCGTGAACACAATAGCATTGAGTAAAGAAATTTTTCCTAAATAAATAAAATAAAAGAATTTTATTCTATAAAAAAAAGAAAAAGAAAACCTTTGGAATATATGATGGTGTTGGTACTAATACTTCAATCAGTGCGTCCATTGAATAATCTAAATAATCCATTGATGAATCATCTATTAATTGATTGGTTTTATTTTCTGATAAAATAAAATTGTTTGATGCTATTTGATCATTTGAGATTGGATATGCTGTTTGTTGAGAAGGATTTTGTGAATTTAAATCATTATATTGAAGAAGATAATTATTCATTTGATTGATCTCATGAGATAAATTATAATTATACATAGAACTATTTTATTATTATTTATCAAAAACAAAAGATATTAAATAAAGATAGATGTTAATGATTTTTACTACGATTTATGAAGAATAAATATTACATGATACTTAGTTAGCCTTTTTTAGAGCTGATATTCTAATGTTAATATAATTAAAACTAAAATTTGTTTATTATTCAACTGTTTAGTAGCTTTAGTATCTCAATAAGCGTCATCATATTTACACTCATTGCAATAAATCATATATATATACAACTCTATTTTCATTGTTATCTAAAAATAAATTCCCAGTTGTTTTTAATGAAAATATTCCTTGTTGATACAAGAGAAATGGATGCTTTTTTCTTTGAATTTAAACTAGATCAATATTCAATATTTATATTATTTTAATTCAATATCGGTTTTTGTTTCGTTTCTCATATAAAAATAATTCCATTAGATATATTTGTCTGTCAAGCAGAGAAGGATTAGCTTTCTATGTATTGAATAGAAATAGTCGAATGAAAATATATTGCGAAAAACACAAGAGCAAAGAAGTTAGAGATAAATTTCTTTAGTACATGCAACAATAGTTGAGAAGAGTTTAATGAAAGCGGTATCCTTCGGTTTTTGAAGTCCACGTTCTAAACGATTTTTCATTAATTGAATAAATTCAAGATAAGATAATAGTTCATCTTGATTATCATCAAATATGGTAAAAACGACATCAATTAAATGTTGATTTAATTCGATTTTATTCACTATTTTAGCAACATGTCGAAATATTTGTTTATCAATGGATCCACCAGCGATGTGATAAAATGTTAATGCAATGTCAATATCGTGAATATTTTGAAGGAAATTATTAAAATTTTCATAATCATTGAATGAAATACCTTTGGATTTAGTTGGATCATCGGCTGGATAACATTTTTTAATTCGTTTTACAATTTTTTTAATTGACTTTTCAGACAAACCGGAATAACTCAGTAGTAAATTCGTAAAATCTAATTCAGTCATGTGTTCTTTATTAAACGAAGATTTATTTGAACGATTAAATTCTAATAATAATATTTCATATTGCAATTGTTCATAAAATAATAAAAATTTCTCGATTGATAATAATTTGTCAAGATTTTCACCGAAAAAAAATTTATTTAAAATTGAATTTTCTTTTAAAATATTCCCAGTTGTTGAATGGTCACGATGTTTTTGTCCAATGGATGTTTGAGAACGAATTAAATTTTTTAATTTTAAAAATTCATCGAAATCAAAATTTCCGTTTCCATCCAAATCAAACATTCTAAATGCAATTTCAAAATAACGTCGAGGTGTTGATAATAATGTTAATAGAAACATAAAATCACTGTATGTTATTAAACATTGTTTACCACCAATACGTTCAAATATTGATATTTCATTATTATTTTTATTTAAATATTCAAATTTGTCCAATGAATCAACGCGAGAATCATAACGATTAAATTTATCTAGCTCTAAACCATCGGGTTGTTTTATTCCTTTATTAAATATTAATTAGTTTTAAGAAAATAAAATAAAATAAAATTCATTACCAGGAGTTATTGACCGAAGAAAATCATCAGGTGTCATGCAAATAATTCCTATTTATTTTCAATGATTATTATTTCGAAAAATAAATTTAAAATAAAAATTACCATCAGGATTTTCATCACTATAGACTTTTAATGTTGCAAAGTAGCGAAATATTTTGTCCGGCATTGAATACGCTCGAATACGATTTTCATAAGCAATTTTTTTCTTATCACGAAATGATACTTTCGATTTTATTTCTTTTTTTCGAATTGCCTATAAAAGAAAACATGTTTTTTTCTATTTTTAATAGAATTAATTTAAAACCGGAGATAAATCTTGATTTGAAGTATTTGTATTGGTTCCAATTTCATTTAAATGTGTTGCTGCTTTAACATTAGAAAATATTTCTAAACGTTTTTCAGTCTCTTTTCGGTTAATATAACTATTCGTTGCAACCATTTGATTTGTATTCACTGGTTGACTCCAACGATCTTCAAATTCTGATACATTTCTATACAAAAGAAAGATTGACTATATCGTTTTTTGTATGAGAATTTTTGATAAAATGAAATTAAAAAAGGACTAACGTTAAAGAGAAAATAGCATATGCTCCAATAATAATGAAGACGAAATGCATATAATGAACAATATGATGGCCAGGCGGTCGAATATGTCTTCTATGCCCAAAATTTGTATAACCAAAACTAAATTTTAATTTTCTTTGACGATTCGGTTGTTTTATTATAATTGGTAAGTTAAATGAAAGTAATGAACGATGATTTTCATTACTCCTATTGATACTTAAGCATCTATTATTATTTGAATAAGGTAAAATTATTTTTGATTTTAATAAATAAGACGAACATAAACGATAAATATTTGTTTGTTGTTTCAATACTCCGATTAAAATCATCTAAAAAAACTAAGAATTTATTCTTCTAACGTAATAAAAAAAATGGACGGATTAAAAAAAACGAAAAAAGTTAAATATAAATTAATTATTTTGCTGTAAATCATTAATAAAATGATTTAAATGTTTAATACGTTGTTGCCATTTTAATTTTTGTTGATTTGTCTCATTTAAAATAAGACGCATTTCATCTTCAATTTGATTAATACGACTCTGGGATTGTTCAAGTTTATCTTCATAGGATTTTTTAATTTCATTTATTGTTTGTCTATGTCCGTGTTCGATGACTTCAAATTGGCGACGAAAATCATCATCGCGTTCATGAACTTTTGCTTCTAATTCTCTTCAAAAAACAAAATTTGTTTGAAATGAAAGAAAATGAATTTTACTTTTGTATTTGCATTAGACGATTATTTTCATCTGAAAGTTTCTTTTCATTGATTTGATATGTTTCAGAGGCTCGACGAATTTTATTATCAAGTTCATTTATTAAGTCAGATTTTTCTTTCCATTTTTTAGTTAAAGCACTAAAATAAAATTTATTTCGAAGAAAAATAAAAGATAAAGGAGAATTCATACTTGTAATCTGATTTTGTTTTTTCAAGTTCTTGTTGGAGAAGATTAAAATTAGATTTTAATGAATCTTTTTTTTCACAAGCGTTATCATATTTATCTTGCAATTCTTGATTAACCATTTGTTCTTCTTGAATTTGTTTCTCAAATTCCTTTTTATCAAGCAGGAATTCTTCGCGAGTCTTTTTTATTGTTTCATCACGTTCAACAATTCCCTTTCAATTTAAAAACTGTTAGTAGCTGACTGTTACTTGCTGAGAATAAATACTTACATCTTTAAGTTTTTGAATTGTATCCAATTGACTTTCAATAATTGTTTGTTTAATTTTTGATGTGTCAACTTGTTTATCGAGTTGCTTTTTTAAAGTGCTTATTTCACTATTTAAAATCTCAATCGTTGATTCTAATCGGCCACGATCTTGTGCCAAAGAAACACCTTGATGTGTTAATTCTTGAGTCCATAGTTTTTTTTCTTCTTTCAAAGCAGATAAAATTGATTCGTGCGCTTGAAAACGTGAATTGATTTCCTTTCTTTCTTTTTGTAACAATAAAATTTGTTCGCGAATTTTTCTTAGCTCTTCAACCGCTTTTTCTAATTTCATTTTTAAATTTTTATTTTCATTCAATACATTTTCATTTATTTTTGATTTTTCTTGTAAACGTGTTTTTTGTTCACGTACTAACTATTAGATAAACATACGCGCAATTAAATAAATATAAAATAGGATCCATTCAAATTTTACCATCATTAAATCATTCATTATTTTCTTATCTGATTCTTGATTTTGTTTTGTATTCGCTGAAGACGATTGGAAAAGTTCATTTTCTTGTCGAATTATTTCGTTTGTTTTTAACAACTAAGAATCAATTTTTATTTTAATCAGAATAGGAATGTTTTTTTTTTACTTCTATGTATCGGCGTTGTTCTATTTTTAATGCATCACGAAATTCATTTTCAAGTTTTTTATATTCGAGCGCTAACGATTCCAATCTAAGTATAAATAATCGCTGATTTAAAATGCAATCTCTGTATGAATAAAAAAAAAAATTACTTTTCTTGCTGAATTTTAGATTGATTTTGGAAAAAGTCTTCTTTTCTTTGAATCTCTTGTTTAATATAAAATTGAACCTCATTCGATTGTAAATCAATTCGACATTTGTCAACTTCTTGTCTAATTAAAAAATAAAGCTAAAGGGAATAAGATGAAATATTCAACTCACTTATGTTGAATATCTTTATTTGTACAAAGTTCTTGACATTGTCTCAATTGTTCTTTAATTCTACTTAATTCTTTTTCTAATGAATCATTCTCATATTTTACTTTATGATTTTCATCTTCCAAACGTTTAACTTTTTCATTCTAAAATTAAAAAAATGTTGCTTTTTTTTGAAAATAAAACAAAAAACTGTTTACCTGATTAATTTTAATTTGATGATTTTCAGTATCTGATTTTGTTAGATTATTTTCAAGAGTTTTAATTAGCTGTAAATTCGTTTCTTGAGCTTTTTTATAAGAACATAGTTGATCTTCTGTTGTTTGGAGACGTTTCTTTAAAAAAAAATAATAATAAATAATCGTTTGACTAAAATAAATACTTTATAATCGTCAACAATTGAAGTTAAATCTCGAAATTTTGATTTTTCATCATTCAACAATTGTTTGTGTTTATCATTTAATTCTTCTAAAAGATTTTCATTTGTTTTACTACCTGCAAAATAAAATCAAGTTTAGCTACAAAAAGAAAAGAAAAAATATCAAACCTTTTTGTTTTAATTGATTAATAATCAAATTTAATTGCTTTATCTGTTGTTCGGCTTGATAACGTTTATTTCTTTCACTGTCTAATTCGTTTGAAATTGATAAATAAAACTTATTATTTTCATTAAATTCGTCACAATCACGTTCACGTCTTGGATTTAACAAATTTCTATCATAATTTATCGAAAATCGACCTGTTTGTTCTTCGATTAGTTCATTTGAACAAATATTACTTAATGAGGAATGATTTTTACTAAATTAAATAAAAACAAATGATTTTTTCTTCCTTGTTTTCAATAATTTATTACTTTCTCGTTGATTTTTGCCTTGGTGTTGATTGTTTATGATTAGTTTTCAGATTGGATTGAGAGTTTTTATTGTTTCTTGAATCTGTTTCAATATCACTTAATTGAGATTCAACTAAATTAAATCAAATAAAAATAATTTAAACCAAATAAATTCATATTCTAAACCTGAATGTTTATCATCGGTTAAAAGACGTTTTCTTGTTTCTTTAACATCTTTCTTTCTATGATGGCTAATAGAATCATTATCTAACTCCTAAAAAAAAAATGAATATTCATCTACGAATATTCTTTTAAAAAGATGAAAACTTGAATGACTTACAGAACAAGATTCATTATGTATATCATTAGCTGTTGATGTTGTACTTGATTGGAATTCTCTTGGATTGTATCGAAATGAATTTAGTGCTGCAGCAATTTTTGGATATTGATCTGATAATGAATTACTTGAATCAATCTTAATTTCAAATTAAAATTCTTTATTCAATTATTTATTTTTTACGAAGAAAAGTTTACTAATTGATTTTTTGTTTGATTACTTAAATGAATATATTGTTCAATACCTATACAAAATAAATTGATTCATTATTAAATAGAAAGAAACAAGAATAAATAACTAACCATTAAGAGGTTGGCTATTAATATGTTTATTTCCATGTTTATCTAATCCATCAAGACTTGTTAATCTTCGAAGATGATTAAATAATTTTAATCGGTAATCTATTTATAGAAATTTTAGTTTTAACTTTTTCCAAAAGAAAACAAACCACATATTTTTGAAATTGGATTTTCTCTCAAAGTGAGATGTTCTAATCGCGAAAGACCATTCATATATTTGATAACATCATCTAACGAACTTTATAGGGAGAAAAATGAAAACGTTTATTTTATTATTATAAAAAACTAATTACTCAATATGATTTCCATGAATTTGAATTATATTCAAGTTAAATTCATTTCCCCAAAGATCTTGAAAACCTTGTAAATATTCAATTTTATTATAAGATAAATTAAGCCATGTCAATTTTCTAAAACGTATGTACTCTTTTATAAATAAATATTTAAAATAATTTCAGAAAATTACTTTAATGAAAATAATCCTTCGACAACAACAATTTTGTTTGATGATAAATTTAATGTAGTTAATGAAATAAGAGACTCAAGGCCTTGAATTCTTGTTATATTATTTGATGATAAATCAAGATGCGTTAAATTTATCAACCCCTGTAAACCATTTATTCTTTCAATTTCGTTGGAATGAAAATTAATTGAATTTAAATTTTTATTTAAAAGAATTTCATCGAGATTTTTTATTCCATGTCCCATTAAACTAATATCATTTGAGTTTATATTTATCTGATCATTATTATGATTGTAATCTATATCCATTGCCAAACTTTAAATTTATCTACATACGTACATAATAGATATTAATATTACAAATAAATAAATCATGAACGATTTACTTATAGGAACAAATCGCAAATAAATCGACAGCGACATCTATGATGCATTAATGTGATAGAATTTAGTAGATGGATGATTGATTTGAAAAGGTGTCTCCTAGGTAATAGACACTAGAGATGTTAGTGGCGGGTTTCTTTTATTGGGTCCATCCAGTAAAAATATCCATCAAAATATTAGCTCAGTTCTGTTGGAGATCCTTCTGACAAAGCGCCAGGGTACAATTCTTCGCTCTAAAGACCTGGTTTCGTTTTTCATGGTATTAAATAACAAGTAAAAAGTGTTGAGTCACAACAACAATTGCATAACTGAAAACGAAATGAACACAGGTGTTCTTCTCGTCTATTCTTTTTCTTCTTGCTAACATAATTAGGAGACAACACAATATAATACATACTTCATCGTTATCAGAATTCAAGTAGCTATTTATTGATGATGGCAAATCCTCTTCATTAATAATTGATTTATTATTTGATTGTTCATAAATTTGTATCCAAAAGTCATGATCATTACGTACACGTTGACCAAAGACCAATTCATACGGTGTTTTTTTTTTGTACTTTGAGATGTACAATTATTAATAGCTAACATCACTGGTCCTGAATCAAAAATTTGAGAAAGGATATCTTAATGAATTGTAAAGTATTTGCTTTAAAAACATTAATTACCTAAACCAGAAGGCCAATCAAGTGAGTTATTTGTTTCTAACCACTTTCCTAATATCTTTTTAACGAATGCATTAGCCCTTTCCACTAGGCCCTGACTTTGTGGATGTCTTGGACGGGCATTAATAATTATTAAATCAGGCCAATCTAATTTAGGATTTAAAATAATATTTGTTCTAAAATACAAATAATTTAAATAATATAATGAAACATGCTTGTGAGAAAAGCGATATTATTATTATTTTTTTCTTTTACTACGTTTGGTGAAACAATCACTGTTTTTAGCGTTAAACTTTTCTTTTTGGTTCCTTTTGAAAATTATAGAAAGCTCCAATTCAATTAATTTTGTAAACGTTTCTAATAAACGATAAGATTTAGATATTTGAAGAGAATAAATTGATTGATTAATTGACAATAAAAGAAAAGATTAAAATAATTGTTTATAATTTATGAAAACAAAAACATGTTCAAATACTAATACAGACAGAGACTGTTCGTATTACATTTTTCATTATCCTATTGAAAGGTTCAATTAGTGAAATACATTCAGTATCAAATATACTTCCAAATAGATCAGTATATTTGATAATCGCAAACTGCAGAATGAAATTTTCTACAAATGAAAACACTTTTACTTCTATATTATAAATAAAAAGAAAATAATTTCAAATTTTGTTTTCATATTTTGTTATCCTTTTAAGTTAGATTACTGTAATACGTTATATAAATTCATTGTTTTTCTGCACCTTTTAAAACTCTTCACGCTTAACAATTTTTGTATAAAAAGAAAATATACAGTATTTTTTTTTTGAAAAATAGCTTCCAATGTAATGCTACATTGCACAATTTCTTATGATTTCTTATTGATTTGATTGATGTAAATGGTAGTTAGTTTTACTGATTCAATTAAAATTTCTCTTAAATTATTTTTTTTTCCGATATCAATTCTAATGAGTCCTTATTTTGTTTTATTAATTTATCAATGTATAGATGCATCAATTTTTCAGTTTGATATATTCTTTGTGGCACAATATTTGACTCTAACAATAAGAAAAAACCACGAGCAGCAAAAACAAAAAAAAAAAACATGAAAACATTTCTCCATGATGTTACTGTCATCTTATAATAGAAATTTTTACTTTAACAAGTTTATTTACTTATTTCTCATTTTAAGAATAATGCGTTTCTGAAGTAAATAGCAACGATTATCTATTTATTTGCATTACTTCAAAAAGAATACTTCTTTGATGAACTATTTTAGTTGAAACAACAAAAGTTTTAAACATCAATTTAATACTAATTGTTTTTTTTTCTTTATCTGAGAAATATTTTAGAAGTAATTCTTACACGAATTCTTTTCCATTATCCGATTGTAATATTTTTGGTGGACCAAATGTATAAAATATATATTTTAAATTAAGTGCAACATGACGTGCTTCTTTTGTTGGTAATGAAAATAGCCAACTGAATTTTGTAAAATGATCTTTCACATGCATTATAAAGGTAAATCCATTATATTGAACACTACGCATGTCAATAAGATCAACCTGTAGTCTAGTTAGAAATCCTATTGAAATAATCGGTTTCCCACAGGGTGTTTTTGGAAAAGATCTTCGTATTTGACATGCATCACATATGTTAATAAATAATGAGACAGCTTGTTGAGGTATGCCAGAAAAACGACTTTTAACCTATTTATATGTACCAATATAAATTAAAAAAAAAAAATGAAAACCTCAGCCCATGTCTTATCTCTTCCAGAATGACCAACAGCTATATGGCATTCATTTATTTTTTCATAAATTTTTTCATGTGTTATTAATGGTGTATTATTTTTTATATTATAGATTATATCCGATGATCCTATTTCCATTACACGAAAACTTGTTCGAATCCAGAATTTGAATTTCGATGACATATTTGAATTTTCTGTTTTAAGAACACTCATAATATTTAAGTACATGACATTTTTAATAGTATATTTGTTTCTCTTTTTAAAATCAAGTTTATCAATATATGAGTCAAGTTTTTGATTGAAAATATCCATTTCATCGATTTTTGATACGCAAAGAAACAAAAACACAATAAACAATATAATTAAAATATCCGACATAAACTATGTTTGTTGAGGTAGTTTTCATAGTAATAAACATTAAGATGAATACACTTTTTTTTCTATTGTTATTGTAGCAAAACAAATATTATTAAAAATTTTCTAATGTAAATTTTTTTATTTATATAACTTTTATAAATCAAATATGAAAATGTACTAATCATCATTGTAATACCATGTGATGATTCATTCAAATGAGATTAATTATATTGACTCATATCGGTAGAATTTAAATAAAACAAAATGTTTTTATTACTATTATACATAAAGCGCAAGGTAATCATTTACTTCTAATTTCTTTCATTCATTCGATTCAATTTAATAGTAAAATCTTTTTTCTTTTTAACTATATTGTATTTTATGAAACACGAGCAGAAGGAAAAAAAACAAATTCAATTTATTTCTTTTTTTTCCGCGCATTCCAATCTCAACTGAAATTCTCATGTCAAATGTGTCATGTGTCTCACGTCAACTGTGCCATATACAAGACGAAGACTTTCATAATTTCGAAATGTTGGTTTAAGTTGTATCGATGAAAATTCTCCAATTGGTTCTATCTAATATAAAAATAAAACCTTCAGATAGAATCATTTCTTTTTTTTTCTTTTTATATGTTTACTTCAAAGCAATGTACACCAAAAAGTAAACGTACAATATATTCAACACTTGGTTGAATGGTTATTTGATCTTTTCGTTCTACTAATTGTAAAATAGAATACATAAGATGTTGTTCCGATGATATTCCACTACATCTAATTAATAGAATAATGAATTTTAATATCTTTTCTTGTATTGCTAAATTAATAAACAATGATTAAGATTAAAAAAAATTAATTTGAAAAAAAGTCAAACCTGGTTCAGGAAATTGACCTTGTTGTAAACCAAGAGCTGATTCAAGATTATTTTTTAATTCTTGATGATTTTGATAATGAAGAATAAAATCAATACTTATATATTCACCAAGATTACTTGCTACTTGAAGAAATTTGATACAACCTTCATTAGTAATATATTGACTATGTAATACACTAAATAATTTTCGTATCGTTGAACGACTGAATATTGATTGATAATTTTTATTATTAACTGAAAAATAGTCACATAAAAAATGACATACACTTTTTCTTTTTCTTCTTACTCATTTGCATAATTATAACTGATATGTCACCAAAACCTTTTTCAAGATCATTGAAATATGATTTTTTTTCATCATCAAGTTCTATATAAGATCGACATTGATAATGACGTTGTTTATGATCTTTAGGTAACTATATTTAAATAAAAACAAAAAACAAATTTTTTTAGTATTTAATAATTAATTTAAATATTTACTTCTGATGGACGATAAATCATCATTAATAATGGATAATTTGTTGGTAATTGATCAATTGGTGTATTTCCAAATGAAACTTGATCTTGTGGACATGCTTTTTGACCACCCATTATATTAATACATTGTTTACACATTGTATGACCACATATAGGTAATGTTATTGGATGATATAATGGATTTCATGTAGAACATTAGAAAGAAAATCGTCGAAGAAATCATCATTTTCTCTTCTGTGAACACCTTTCATTGACAGATAGAAAGAATTGATCTGTAAAATCAATATCATAGATAAACTATATAATGATGGAACATTTAAAATTCAAAAATAGTTAAACAATATTCAAGATCTATTGTAAATATAGAAGCTTATTTCTCAGTTGTACAATCAATTTTGGATGGAACTATCTGCTATTTGATTTCTCTTTGAAATTGCTATCTTTATTCATTCTCTATTGTCTCTTTCAATCATTTCATTCCATATAAAATAGATCTATTTTTCATATATTTTATTTAGATAATACAAAATCAGAAAAACAACGAATAAATGTATGAGGAAAACAGTTTTTAATATGTTCATCGATTTTATGCGATGTAGAAAAATAAAGAGCAGCAAATTTTGAAGAATGATTTCGTGTTATATCTCTTGTAAAATCGTATGTCACTCTTTTCAATGATTGATAATCGGCACATAGATGAAGATTATTTGGCAAAGAGATTTTCGTATCAAATAAAAATAATTCAACATAATCATCATGAGTGTTAATAATATTAAGTCGAGTTAGATATCGATATTCAATAATTGACATTATTTGATTATCGTTGTTTAGTTTCATTAATTGTTTGTTATTTTGTGCTTTTCGATTATTTATTGTCAATTCTTTCATAAATGGAAATGATTTTTGAATTCGACGAAAAAATTCATGTTCAAATGGACGTTCATCATATAACGATACTTGAGTAACACTAGTAAATAATCCACCTAGAAAATTATTTGTTATATTATTATAAACTTTCAATTTGTATGGATATGAATAGATATGACATTGACTAAATCCTTCTTCTTGGAAATGATCAATACAAGTTATTATTTGATTATTAGAAAAACTTTTAAAAGTTTTTTCAATATCTTCATTTAATGGAAAAATAGCTTGATCGCCATGATTAATTATTGAGCAAATATTAAATGTCAATTTATATAATTGTGGCATATAAATCATAATATCTTTCATCAACGTATCACCTGAAATAAATTTTTCATAACATTGAACTACAATATTTAAATCAAGTTCTTCTAAATTTAACATTCGACGTAGAAGTGGTACAATTGATTCATCAAAATCATCTATCTGGCGCTTGCAGTACAAAGAAAAAATCCGTAAGTTTGGTAACATTTTTTTCTGAACAATAGAAATAAATATGAATTCATTTAAACAAAATATTAATAAAAATAACCTACCTTATGTTCAATGCTGCCAAAGTCAGGAAAGATACCATAAAAAGTAACATAAAGTATACGAAGTTGATCAAAACGTCCATCCAGTATATAAAGACAGTCTTCGATATTTGCCACAGTGACATGTAATTCTAATAAAGTTGAACAGATGGCAGTTTCACCCGCCATATGTAAAGCTGAAGCGTCAAGAAAAGATGCCGATAGATTGAATTTTAAGCATTGTAAATTAGTAAATATTGTCAAAATGTTTCTAAATATAATTGGAGAGACACCTCCCAATGGAGACAGTACGTTTCCTTTATTAAAATTGGTTAAGAGTGATGTAATTTGATTTTTGAATGTATGCGTTAAAGGATTCTTCTCTAAATAAAGTTTTAAAATAAATGAAAATATTTTTCAGATCTCCTTCTGTTCATTCGATTAAAATATCTAAGATTTTCTATTTAACAACATTCTCATCTATATATTTGATGTTTTCTTTTTTAAATTCTCTTGTAGATTACATTGTATATGATCAATGTTGTGTTCTATATCCTTTATTGACTTGTTTGTATTATTGATTTTCTTCTAGACTTTCTATATTTTGCCTCTATTAATCTTGAAAAATTTCAATCGAATATATTATCAATATCTTTTTTCTCGTAATGAAGTTCCGATAAAGGATATATTCGATGTCGTAAATAAAAGTGAAAGCAAAAATGATTTTCTATTAGTAGATGATGCTTAAATTCTATTAATTATGTTCAAAATAAATCATTTTGTTTTCCAGTAACTAATAAATTCTACAATAAAATCAATCAAAGAAAATCTCTTACCCGCAAACAGAGACTCAGCTAGTTTGAAGTCGATATCACATAAAACAAGGTTATTCAAATTCGGATAATTTGTAGCACGAAGAACACGTTCTATCGATGTTCGTTCAAGAGAAAGAGTTTCAATTTGATGTCCAATTTTAGGTAAAATCTTTAAACAAAATCGATCAAGTATTGAATCTTGTAATGGAATGGTAGAATTGTCGATTCGACAATATTTTAGTAAACATAAATGACGAGTAAAGATTCTATCATGTAGAATTCTATTGAGTCGTTGGTTAACATCCATTAAAGAATAAAGCAATTCATCATTGTAGAATTTTTTAAATATATACATAAGAATTTCATCAGGTAAATCATCTAATTGAACCAACAAATCATTCATGTTTATTGGTCAACACATCTACTTTTCTAATACTATATATATATATATATATGTGTTCTATTCATTGATTTTAATTTGACCGATATCGTCAATGAAAACAATGATATTCTTTTCAATTGTCTTATTAGACGATGAACGAAAAACAATGAAAAATAGCATGACCTTTTTATTCTTTCTCTTTGTTATTATTGAATAGCCTTTAATATGATATATGATAGAAATTTTAATTTGTTTCCAAGGAAAAAAACATATTTATGAAATTTATGTCTTAACTTTCGTTTGAATTAATATTGAAAAAAGGTTCAATTGAACAAAAATTTAATTTTAAATGTACAGATTTATTTGAAAGTCGTTTTAAATTGTCTTAAATAGATGAATTTCAATAGAAGATATTTTTTTTGCCACAAGTCATTTGGAGTAATTGATCGAATTGAATACAAATAATTTTTGATAGATATTTTTGAGTGTTTACTAGAAAATGTTTTCAAATGTTTCTAAAATATTTTATTTTCCTAAAAGATTTATTTCAAATGATAGAAAATTAAATTTAAGAATTTAGGCGAATAGAAAGAATTACTATTTAGTTTGACGATTTAATGTTAAAAACAGTAAATGAGTTTTATTTTCCTGTTTATTGACAAAATAAATCCAATCTTTAAATAATTTTATAATTATTCTTTATTATTTGATTAAGTTTAAAGGAAAGTTCAATTTTATACGAAAGAATTTGTTAATAAATTGTACGTGATGATCACAGATAAATATAGAATTTTTATGATGAGACCATTCGACGAACACAATAGAATAATATTGTCAAAAACGTGTTCTGCAGTTCATTAGAATTAGTATCAGATCATTTTTCAGGTTTTTTTACTAGAAAAAACAATCGAGAAAAGTATTTTCGAATAAACATGATTGTTGCTACGACCTCTTTCTAAATGTTATTATGAAATTATTTATTCATTTTATTGAAGAATTATTCAAAGAAAACAATATTTGTTTTCTATGAAATAAAAATAAAAAAAAGAAAGAGTTTTCTTTTGAAGATCTTCATAGGAAATATGTTTCTCTGACCTCGTTTATTTCTATATATGATCGAATAGATTATTTGATATCTATTAAATAATAGGTTTTATATCATTAATAATATAAATACGTAATAAGATTTAAGCAACAGTGTTGTTTTTGTTGACTGAAAATATTTTATCGAAAATTTTATCTAAAATAGGAAAATAATTTTTTATCGATTAAATAGGGTGTGGATTTGGGTGTGGGTTGTGGCTATTCTTCTTCTGTTGATAACCATGCAGTCATATCCTTAGTTCATGGAAAGAAGGAGAGTTTAATAAGCCTTTATTTTTATGTTTCATCGATATTGCAAAGGCATACGACTCTGTTAATCATCAACTTGGGAACCTGGAATTTCGGCTCAATATGAAATGAAGATGAGGATCAGAATGACTCAGTTTTAAGATACAATTTTTTTTTAGGCCGAAAGTCCGGGCCGAAAATTCCTTGGGCCGAAATTCATGTGACCCAAAGTTCAATCAAAACTGGTTTAATAAAATAAATGTTGAATGTATTCACGTAAATAAATATCTAAACAAGGGTATAAGATATCAGTGTTTAAATGCATTGTATGCAAAAAAAGTAATAGCATAGTATTGGTAAAAAATACCGTTTATTTTCTCTAGACTATAAATAAGTTTTTTTTAATGATCTTTATTCGATTTTATTTTGTACCATATATATGACATATATGTGTAAAATAGTTGAAAATAGATTGAAACCAAATTTATGTTTGTTATTCCTATGGAAACTACTGCGATAAAATATTTTTTTACAGTTTAATGATACTTTTAGTCATTGTAGTCTGTATATGTTAAAACACTATCATCTTCAATGTTGTAGTAGTGTTTTTAAGGTGTCTAAATAGTTTCTGTAGGAGAAACTATAGAGTCCTATATATTTTAGACTAATGATTCCTATATATTCCTATAATTTTTTTCAGGGCTGCTGCAAAGCCAACCTATTACGAATACTCTAGAAGAATTCAAAAGCTAAGATGAAAGTTAATGGAGAAGTGTCAGATAATTTTTAATTAGAAACAGGAACGAGAACGATGCAAGGGGGAATATCATCTCCAATATTATTCAATATCCTCTTTGATTTTGTTATTAGAAAAATTAATGAAGAGACTAGTCTTGCTGGAGTGAATTTCGTGTATGAAAGCAACGATTTCTTTAATGGAAGTCATTGAATGTATGAAAATTTTAATATTTTGATTCTCTTATATGCAGATAATGTTATTACAACGGGTGAATCTGCTGGCGACTTTGATAAATTTTTAAAATCTTTTGAAAAAGTCACTCAAAAGTTTGGCTTAACAATGATTGTTAAGAAATCATGTATTATGAAATTATAACAACTCAAGGAAGGTCAACATCGAAAGGTTTTCTAATGGACGAGTGAGGGACCCTCCTGATATCGATATAAACATTCGAAACTAAAAGATTAAAACAGTATATTCATTCACATATTTAGGATGCACTATTATCAGAGAGCAATGACAAAATATAGATGTAGAAATCGTCTAACGAAAGTTATCACAGCATTTAATATGTTGCGACATGTAATATGGGATCGAAAATCTGTTTCAATCGCAGCAAGACTTTGAATTTTTAAAGCGTCTATACTATCAGTTTTATTATATGGAAGTGATATGCGGTCTCAGACTCAGACAGCAACATAGGAAAGAAGAATAAGAAGTTTTTTTATATGCGGTGTTTATGTGCAATCATTGGATTAAACGTCCGTAAGTGAAAAAATAAATCAGTCAGATTGAAATTTTGAGAGGTGAGTTTTCGTGAAAGTTTTATTGTACCAAATTACGTAGCGAACGTTTCATATATCATCAGATAAGTTATTGGTAATCTTGAAATAATTTTATTTTTTCAGTTTTCTTCTTTTCGACGAGTAGAGAAAGAAATAGTATTGAAACATTCGAAACACTTTCCTTTCAGTTATAATTCTTAATATAATTGAACAGCTGAATAAAACATTTCAACGTATGCATTTATAGTTTTCTTTGCTTACGTTAGCTATTAATGATAAGTGATAAAGACTGAAAGTATAGGCCTAATATTTTGTAGCCACTTATTTCTTTTTGTTCGTCTACTTCATATTTAATATTAAAATACGTCCGAAACGTCTCTCACTCATTACATCGTTTGTTTTCTTTCATTCCGCTATGTCGATTTGCGTCCGTATGGAGCTCGATATCACTTCTTTTTTCTTTTTGTTTTTCGTTCTGATATAAGTCACGACGAAATGAGACTGAAGGTATAGTGCTTTTCGATCCATGAGCAAATAGATAACGTAAGTGTGCAGCATGTTTATTTCATTTTACGATGATTGTGTTTTTTTTTTCTTCTATGCATTTTACTCGATCTTTAGTCTATTCAAGAGGATTTGTTCATCTGCATTCTTTTCTACCCATAAGCTAGCATAGATCATTATTTCGAATTTCAAGGAACTTCTTTTATAAGAATGCCTTATTGCTTTGTTGTCATATGTGATAGAATATAATTAGAGTTTATTTATTTTTACATTTTTATAAATGCATTTAGTTAATTCAGACAGCAGTCAAAGAAATCTGACAGTCCGATTCGATTGAATTTTGATAGCATCCTATGAGTTTTTATTAGAACTCTAGCGCAACATTCCTGACAAGACAGAAAAATCATAGAAATATTCAGCGTTTATTTCTACTTGTTTGTCTATAAATTACTTCAGTAATGTTTGCCTTGAAAATTGACCGTTTGCTTATTGGTACATTACGTGCTCGGATCACAGCCGGAATCCGAAAGCGAGATAATTCTACGAAACAATTACGCTTAAGTTACTATCACCATGCAATGCCAGGTCCAATGGTTTACAAAACATTAAGTCAGAACTTTGATACAATCGCCGATCAATATTCTGATGATGAATGTCTTGTTTTCAAAGGTAAAAATATAGGGACGACTATAGAGCTTTTTTCTATACTATCTAATTGCTTATATATTAAATTAGGCGAACAAAAACGATACACATACAAAACATTTAAAGAGGAAGTTGACAACATAGCAGCGTCTCTTCTCGATTTGGGATTCAAAAAGTACGATCGTCTCGCTGTTTGGCTTCCCAATACATCTGAAAATGTAACCATTTCTTATGCAGCATCGAAATTGGGTCTGATTAAAGTGATTGAAAAACTTTTCATTGAATTTCTGATTCGCTATATTATTAATTATAATCAAAATATTAGGTAAATATCAATCCAGCCTATGTCGAACGAGAACTACAATATTGTATTAATAAAGTTGGTTGCAAAGGTATTCTACTTTCATCATCGATCAAATCATTGAATACATTCGAAATTTTACGTCGATTGGTACCAGAACTTAATGAAGGTGTCTCGGCGACTAGCGAACTTTCAGCTAAAGCAGTTCCTACTTTAAAACATGTCATTTTGACTGGCGAAAAAACTTTCGTATCAAATGTATATTCATATGAAGATTTACTTAGACGAGGTGCTCAACTATCACACAAAAACCTTATCGAACGACAAGCATCGATTGATCCTGATACACCTGTTGAAATTTTCTACACTTCTGGGACTACAGGCCAACCAAAGGCAGCAACATTGACCAATTTCGGTATATACAATTTGATTCTTAGTCAGAGAAAACTTTTCGGTCAATCATTTACGCGTCTTTGTATTCCTATTCCAATGTTCCACATATTTTCGGAAATGGTCGGCGTGCTCAATGCAGCAGTTGCCCCATGTCATCTTACTTTTCCAGCTGTTCTGCCCGATACAATTGCCACTATGCGTGCCATACAAGAAGAAAAATGTACTGCACTGATCGGAGCACCGATTATTTTTCGTGATATATTGACGCATCCAGATCGGAAAAAATACGATCTCACTTCATTGACTTTCGGTTTATCAGGAGCAAGCTCAATGCATATTGACTTTTTGCGTCAATTAGAAAAAGAGTTTCCTATCACACGTATGGCACAAGCTTATGGAATGACTGAAACCGCCGGTATCATCACGTGTAGCATGTGGGCTGGTGACAACGATGTTAACAGACGTCTTTCGTCGATCGGACAACCGATGCCTGGTTTAGAACTAAAACTTGTCGATCAACAGGGCAATATAGTACCCATTGGTACGTCAGGTGAAATCTGGACCAGAGGTCATTCGGTTATGTGTGGATATTATGGCGATGCCGAGAAAACACAAGAGACAATCACACATTCACGATGGCTTAAAACAGGTGACGTAGGTAGAATGGATGAAGATGGTTATGTTTATTTTGTTGGACGTCAAAAGGAAATCATTATTCGTGGTGGCATCAATATTTATCCGGTTGAAATCGAAAATACAATTGCTGAATATCCACATGTACTAGATGCACAAGTCTTTGCTATTCCAAACGAACGATACGATGAAGATGTGTGCGCTTGGATTCGATTAAAACCTGATGCACCCAAATGTGACATAGAAGATATTCGAAATTTTCTAAAAGACAGATTAGCTTTCTTCAAAATACCGACACATATGCGAATTGTTGATAAATTCATTATGACTCCAACGGGTAAAGCACAAAAATTCAAAATGTCCGAAATTATGGCTAAAGAATTAGAGAAGAACAAAGAAAAACATTAACTTCTTTTTCTGTGAATATACACTATATGAATATTGAAAAATAAACTTTGAAACAAAACACATTTGTACAAGTAAAAGCACATCTTGACATCTGTAAGGTACGACCAATATTTTATTATTTTTGGAAATTTGTTTTTTTTTTACTGCAGAACGGACTTATCGCTTGAGGGTGTGGGTGTATGTCTTCTTCCACGCATGCCCACACCCACGCCCACACTCGCACCTGATAATACTAAGTAATTTTGATGGTTGGCTGTTTCGTTTATAGACTTGACTCAGTTGCTCAGGATGATTCATGTTTCTTTTCGTTCGCCTATAGACAAGCAACCAATTGCAAAGAAAATCATTCAAAATAAATGGCTTATTCAATTGGTTATAGAATAGACGAACAAAAAGAAAATGTCACAGGAATTACGCATGTAAAGTTACTGATTTAGAAGAACTTTAGCATATCAATTAAATTAAAGGTATTGAAACCGATTTCAGAACCAACGTTTTCGTTTTGTCTGATCTGACAGACAACAGTATCCAAAACTTTTATAGAATTGTTTTTCTAAGACCTTCTTTCAATAATTCGTGAACAATCATGAAGAAGACGATATGTGTGATATTAACTATTCTTTCAGATCGAGGAATCAATTTTTTATGGCGCATATTGGAGAAACAGAAAAGAAAATGAATTTTGAATCATTGGCCAATGAATTATTACTTTATCTATTCAAATTTCTCCGTACCGATCATCTTATTTATGCATTTCATGGTCTCAATTCTCGATTTTATTCTTTACTTTTGCATCATTTTACCGTTTGTGGTATTGATTCTCGACTATTCCACCACAATGATTTTGTTATAATGTGTGAAAAATACTTTCCAACATTGATCGATAAAGTATCTTCATTATATTTATCAGAGAAGGAAGATTCTTTGAAATTGTTTAATCAATTGGATCTTCATGGCTTTGCAATTGGCCAGTTCATTCAATTGAAATCACTCTCATTAAGTTATCTTTCTGAGGAACAGATGATAGATAAAATAATGTTCGCATTACCTCACTTTATCAATATGACTCATTTAACTCTTCAACATTGTTTTTTGCCACAAAGTCCAGGAAGTGTGTCTGAAGAACAAATAAATGCCCGTCCTTTTATAAATTGTATATGGAACCTACCAAAGCTCACCCATTGCTGTTTTATTAACACATTTGTGTACAAATTTAGTTCTGCCATTTTTACAGAACCAACGGTGATATCATCGAGTATAACGCATCTATTTCTTTTCGGTGTTCATGATGATTCTTTGTGTTTGGATCGTATATGTGAAACTACACCAAAACTTCAACACTTCTCAGAATCTTCTCCGGATTTGAATATGTCCGAAGTTCCAAGGTTTCCTCTTCTATCAATGACTTCTCTCGAGGTGTCCTGTACCGGTTCTGGATCCACCTTACTTCACATACTCCAATGGATTCCCAATCTGTATCGATTGAAATTGAAAGATATTCCTTACATTAATGGACATGAATGGGAAAGCTGCATTTCTAATCATTTACCTAAATTGAAAATATTTAATTTTCAAATGAAAGGTCGCTTTAGTCAAAACAAAACGATCGATGTACAAGTTGATGACATACTCAATAAATTTCGAACTCAATTTTGGCTTGATGAACATGGATGGTTTACTGCATGTTATTATGAACCAACGAACAGAAGTTTCTATCTCTGTACTTTACCATATGTTTTTGACACTTTTCAAATGCGTTATCCATTACTTTATAAATCTACTTGTCTTAACGAGAATAACGATCAATCATTTGACAATGTGCGTCGTTTAATATATGATGTTCAATCTATGAACGACTGTTCATCATCCGATATTCGGTTCTACAAGCTGGAAACACTAGAAATAAAAGCTGCTCTCAGTAATTATTTCTGGTCTGTAGTTCCAGCATTGCATCATTTAACTTCATGCACGATAGCATGTTATGGTAATAGTCAAGAATGTATACATCAACTTCAACTTTCACTTTCTCGTGCTACTCATCTAACATTGTTAACATTTTCGGGCCATTCTAGAGATATTTCTATTGAAAATCTACTATTAGAAACCAATAATGCATCGATAAAGCGGCTCAATCTACAATCTAACTTCATTTCATATGATGAAGAGCAATGTGTCAGATTCAGTCGTACTCGTCTTGCGATGCAATGTGAAGAGCTTCACATTCGTGTGAAAAGTCGAATATCAATATGTCATCTAATTAAAACAATGTACAATTTACGATTAGTATATGTGAAATATGACGAGGATGAATACGACTCTCTTAGACCAATAACTGGTAACGAGAAATTTGACAATTCAGGAAAATATGACATTATCAGCTGGTTATGGGAGCAATTACTAGGCATTCGGCGATTTGTTGAAATAACAGGTTGCTACAAGAATATTGTACTGAGATTATCTTAAAAAACAGTCTGCGTCATTTATCTTTATTATACATAAGTACTCATCCATCGTTTTTAATAACAATAATGCTAACATATAAAAATATTTTTCGAACAAATTATCAAAGTCAATACCAATGACTACAACTAAAATAGTTGCGATTAGTGTACTACAGCAGAATATGCTACCCGACAGTCAACGGGGTATGTGGGTGTGGGGCAAGGAAGGAACGGTATGCACACCTACACTCACACTCTCATACTGAAATATGAAGCAGTCGTGAATGGAGAAACAACTTTTTCCAGTTGGATGAACCTACAATTTTGGCCACTGCTATAAATACAGCTCACATATATTTCCTCATTCCAAAGACCTAGTTTCAAAGAACGAGCTAGCTGATGAGACCCTTAAGACAGAACAGCACGTATCGTAGTTTTCTTCAAAAATAAAACCAAAGTCGCAAACTTGCTCACCCAGGCCCCAACCAGCACTACATCCTCTCCGCACAATTATTTAAGGAGTACAATTGAATTTCTTTCACAATATCTCTCTTAAGCGTGGACGTGTATGGGCATGGAAAAGTCACGAGTGACTTCTTGTGTTTGTACCCACACTCACATCCTCGTCTTCAGTATTATAAGATTCCGTTTAGAAGTAGTCCATCTCATCAAACGTAGTTAGTTACAATCGCTGTTTGCGTCTATTCGGAAACTTCCGCAAAATGCTGTGCTCCCTCATCGCCGATTTGATTGGATTCCAGCCCTCGTCATACTAAATAAAAATGCGTCGGCTGTATGTGTCGTGAATTTTTGTGTTGTGCTCTCCATTACAAAAATGTGTCGTAAATTTTTGTGTCGCACTTTGAATGAAAAAAATGTGTCGTATATTTTTCGCGTTCTGTCAGTCGACTAGTCGTTCACCGTTTTGTTATGAACATACAGCGACATATAAGCAACATCGTTGAACACATGGAAGATAAGTTCTCGAAATAAAATTTTCTTTGGATTTAATTCTTGATTACTTTATAATCAAGGAATTGCCATCCCGATCCATGATCCGGGAAGGACTACACTGGATAGTCTGATAGGAATCGAACCGATTCCAAATCAGCCAGATCTTAGGATTTGATCAGATTGACTTTTCAAAAAATAAAGAGATATATGTAATTTAATTAAAAAATATCGAAATATGCGTTTCAAAAACAACCAATGAAAATGTGTCGGATGTGTCGTGAAAAATGCGTCGTGGTCTTGCTGGACAGAATGTGTCGCAACGAGCACCTCATGTCGTACTCGAATGTGTCGTGCTTTGTGTCGTAGTTTACGACACATCCGACACATTTTTACTTACTCTGATATGGCACCACTTTTTGTGCTTTGAGTCGTGTATTAAAACTACACAAAATTAATTTAAATTCAAGTATATGCTTGGATAGCAGAGATCGAGTACTATATTTATACATCTATTCAATTCGAAAAATTCTCAAATACGAACTACTGTGAGAAAAACAAATTCTAATACTAAGAAAAAAATTACATAAACAACTACAGATTGGTGTTTTTGTTACAGGATGCTTTTATAGTAAGTCAATAATAAAGAAACACAAGGCATTCAGAAAACTTTTCATTTTATCAGATTTTGTAGAGATTTTTTCTCTGTTCATGTTGGTAAAAAAGCATATTCGATTTTATTGAGAAGTGGTCATGTCATAACTAAAATACTGAACAGTGAGGTGTCCAAAAATGTCTTCAACACAGTTTGTTTTCCTAATATCTCTGTACAGACAAATGATAAAACCTTGGTAGTTTCTTCAAAAGATGTGCCGTGAATAGATCTACAAAAACTATTCTTATTGAGTTGTTCTTATGGCTTCTTTCGTACCCAACATGAAAAAAATGCATGATAGTGCTACTTCTCACCATAATTAACCTCATAGAAACGTTAGAAAAGCTTTAATATTTTGAATGTATCTCAGTTTGAAAAAATGAAAACACCTTGATTTTTGCTTCAAAAGATTCGCTGTTGAAAGCTCTACAAAAGTTGCATAAATAAATTCCTATTCTAACCAAAAAAGTCTTTCAGACATTTTTATGTTCAACTTGTAGTTTTTTATGCAATATTTTTCTTGATACTAGAGTTTGTTTTACTCACAATAGTTTTTATTCGAAAATTTTTCGAATTGAACTGATGTATAAATATAGTACTCGATCTCTGCTATTCAAGCATATACTTGAATTTAAATTAATATTGTGTAGTTTTAATATACGGCTCAAAACAAAAAAGTGGTACCAGACTTTTGGCCCGCCGCTGTAGTAGCATTATTTTATATCGATGAGATTTCTTCTAACAATATGTTATTGAGTTTTGCTTTGTCCACTTGTGATGAGAAAGAAAAAGTTTCCTATTTTGTTACTCGTTTAAATTTCAATGTGGTGACTTTTTTCCTTTTCTTTTATTGATAATCTTTTCTTAAACAAAACTTTTAACATTCATTATTATTCTCATTAGTTACTTATATGCGAGAACTGACTTCAATCTATATGTATTTTCATCCGAAAACAATCCCATTCTTAGGGCCAATTAACATATCTACTGTAGTGCTCTTATGATTTTAACTCTTCTGTTTTTCTTCCTCGTTCTGTATCAAGAAATTTTTTTTGAAAGTTTTCAATCTCAAAAGCAATAAAAACAATCAATTGGTAGAACATATCAAAAATTTTCTTGTCCAATTCATTTCCTTTTTCACAAATACAAAAAAGCTATTCTTATCATTGATCTATTATGAATAAGAAGTTTTTCTATGGCTTATTCAAATATTTTTTATCGAAGAACTAACAAATCGATTTTTATATTCTAGAATTTCATACAATCTACTATCTATTTGCATTTCTCTTTATCTTAGAAAACAAACGAAAAAAAAAACTTTTCCTATATTTCACTGTTTAACTTTTGAACATGTTCAAAAGTTAAAAAAATCAATAAGAAAAATGTTACGTGTTGGCGATGAATATATAATATCTTCAAAGAATAAATAAAATTTATTTGAATTATTTAATTGTCTTAAATCTTGAATTATTTTAGTTTCATTTAAATAAAATCCATATTTAGTTTGCGTACAAATTTTTATAACACAATGTTTTTCATCATCTTTATAAATAGTATTCGGATTTTTTTCTAAGAAATAAACATTGGACGTTGGGTTTCTTCCTAGTTTTCTTTTAATATAATATCTTTCATTAAGTAAATTACCAGTATAATTTAGATTTAATGTCGTATATTGATAAAAATCCATATCCATTATTAAGAGTTTTGTGAATATGATCCATGCCCAGGTCGAATAGTCCGGCTTGGAAACGGCCGGTTCCGGATAGTTCCGTTAATTTTGTGGAAGCAGTATTCCGGTTGGAAATTTTTCGCATTTTTCCGGTGATTTCCGATCAATTCCTGCCGGAAAGCACCGGAACTTGGCAGGAATCGACCGGAAAAGTCTAGTCGTATTTTTGACCGGAATACTGCTTCTATGTTCCAGCGATTTTCCGTGTTTTCCTGCAGGATATGGTGACTTTCCCGCATATTCCCTGGAGTATCCTACAGGATCCGGTAGCTGGAATGTTCGACCTGGGTGTATTTTTATGGAAGTATATTTGTTTTGATTGTTGATTTGTTGCCATTGTCATATATTTTGTTCGTATTGATTCAGGTGAATAATCAAACATTTTCAACGTGCGGCTTTCATAATAATTATATTCATCTGACAATGGCTTATTTTCTACATAGAAAAACTTTAAATATTGTTTATTTGCTAGAAAACTATACCTTTTTTATGATATTGTAGTTCTAGTAGTATTTGTAACTATTGTAAGATTTGACTTCTGGCTGCTGCAGTTTCTATACTAACTTCAGGTCCTTTTAATTCGCCAAGATAAACAATAAAATCTTGAAGACAGACATTTTTTTGTTTTTTTCAATATTGATATTTACATATTTAAACATAAATGCATAATCATGACATTTTCCATCTAGGTAATACTTTGTTGTATTGAAATATTTCAGTACTGTAGAATCATGAAATATCAATAATAATTCCTTTATGAATGTATTAAATATGTTTTCGGCGCGGCCACGCATCGTTCACCCATCCATGAGGAAGGTTCGAATTAAAAATTCAATGAAATTGAATTTGCCGATGGAAAGAGTACTAAAGATAGCACATAAAACTGGTGTCGCTACCTACCGGATGCGAGCGTTGTGGTAATGAGATTGTCGTTTTTTCGTTCAATGGGCTTCTTAGAAAAATAACTTATCGGCTCGTCTTAAGTAAACCGTTAATAAGTATTGATATATGAGTTTAATCAAGTCGAACTGCACACCGCTATATAGAAGACGATGGTTCTTTTCAAATAACAGCTTCAAATGAAATTTAAAAGATTGCACAATTTTGATAAAGCGTCCGCAAACCATCTGAATTTTTAATGAAATTCCGTAACCAAAACTACTCATAGTGTATTTTACTCACTTCTCTTGCAAAATTATTTTTAGCAAACTCCATAGTCAGATAGACCTTTTCAAAAGCTATCGAATGCACTAGTTTTTATTAAGATTTGGTTGTGTCATTGTACATTTAAAAGAAAATACCTTCGTTACGGAATTTCCTAAGTATACGAATTTTAGGTGTGTTTACAGTATCAAGCATTTTTCACTGATTTTATTTGCAGATATGTACAAATTTGGCAATATTCGGAATCAGCATCGAATTCTGAACTAAATGAGATATTTACATATTCAAAAGTACAACTTTGATTTTTTTCGAAAATTTTTGACGAAAAAACACGTAGAAATTTTTTCCCCGGAATCTTTTTGAAAAGTGATCCACTCGGTGCAGAATTTCATGCTGGTGACTAATATATGTTTAATTTTTACTCTACCACTTTTCATTGATTTTAAATCACGATTTTTTGAAAAAAGGTGAAATTCCGTAACGAGTGGTATTTTAAAATTTTTATCTGATAAAGCTAGTTCGATAAGAAATGATGTAATATTCTAATAGCTTGTTAAAAGCTAAATAATTTTTGTATGCAGAGTTTTTTTTGTGTTGCTTTATTTCGTAGAAAAACACTTAATTCTGAACTAGTCTAAAAAATTCCATTTTTGAAATTCCGTAACGCTCACTATTCATTTAATAACTTTTTTTCGGTTGGGAAAAAATTATTAAAAATTTTACTGTACATAGAACAAAGTATCCTATCTTCATGATAAAAATTTCAATCATTTTGTTTTCATTACTGAAGAATTATAGATGTTCTAATGTGACAAAATGAAATTCCGTAACGCGTGGCCGCGCCGTTTTGTAATTCTTGTTCTGTTTTCATGGAGGATAATTTAATACTTTTTAAATAATTTTCAATACAAATTTCTATAGTTTTACGGAAATGATTGTCATCTTGCAGTAAAAAATGAATTCCAAAATCACGAATATTTCTTTTTTACTTCAAATTTGTAAAAATCACGAAATGATGAATATCTTCTCCTACTGTTCCTTGTTGATGCCGGCAGTTGTTCTAGTTTCAATTCTTTTCTTGATTCTTGTTCATGTAACAGTAAAAGATCTAGTTCTTTTCATTTAGCTGCTTCTTCTGTGAACTTTCGTTTTGTTGCTTCTACTTCTTCAGTATATTTTTGTTTTGTTTCTTCTCCTTCTTCAGTATATTTTTGTTTTGTTTCTTCTTCGAATTTTGTTTGTTTTGTTTCTTCTTGTTGAATAAGTAGTGTTAATTTTAAGATTCCTAAAATTTTATTTCGATTGTCATCCATAATTATATTTGAAGAATTTTCGGTTTAATCTAGAAATAAGAAAGAAAAATGCAGAATAGAACTAAAAGTCAGCAAGCCTTGAGGGTGTGGGTGTGGGTGTGTGGATGTGGAAAACACTCAAACCGTGCTCACACCCACACCCTAAACTAAACAGTAGAAAAAACGATCAGTCGGTATTATCAATTAGCGGTGTGGATAACCCCGGGTAGGATGATGCTACAGAACAAAGGAGAAATTTATTAGATATGTCATTGAATTCAACTAGCCTATTTATTCTGGTAACAACTTTGGCTGATGTCTATCAGCAGCATACTATCGAGTTACTGGACAAAACTTTGAAAGACACTATAATCAATATTCTAGTTCTGATAAATAAAATTGATTTGCGTCTCATTGCAGAGTGGGACAAGTTCAAAAGTCAAGACGAAGATGATGATGAACCCGTTAATGATGGCTGGGCAGATCCGAATACAGCAACTGCTAATCGTGCAGTTGTTAGTCCAACAGGAAATTTTAGTGCAAATGACACAGTAAAACAATTGATTGAACGACCAAAAAGAGAATTAATCGAAGGATTGACAGTGGATCAAACAGAAAGAGCTAATCGTGTAACAATTATACCAGTTATTCTGCATGACTTTCCTGAATCAAGTTCGACATATGCCGACTTGCGAGCATTTGCACGTCGTGAACCAACATTTGGTTCGTTGCTGGCCAAGTCTAATGTTGATAAATGGATAATAAAAAAATTATTATAATAGTATGAACAATAAACAATATATTTTTGTCACAGTTGACATGGGAATTTAGTTGAGATTGGAATGCACGAAAAAGAAAATTAATTAAAAAAACGAAAAGAAAAAACATAACAAAGAGAAATTCTCTGAGAGTGATTTTTTTCTTAACGTATCACAAAATACGTTATTTAAAGAATTATTTGAAAACACTGAAATATTAATCTTATTGTTTCAAAATGTGTTATTATATAAAATTTTATTTAGATTTAATAAAGAAAAAAAGTATTCAATAAATTTTGTTTTTGTGAATATTCTATTTTCTTGCTTATATGAGTCATATCATTGATTGTTCTCTTTTGTTTTATTTATGATTTGGTATTATAAGGAAGTAAAATAATTGGTTCTTCCATGCATAATAATTTACCAAAAATTTTAGTTTTTTATTTAAACTGTCTAATAAAATTTATTGACCGATACCTTTGAGAATCATTCATTGATTAACTTAATTCTTATTTATTGATTGTTGTTACCTAGTGAATGTACTCATCAAGAGAGTACTCAAAAAGTACTCGCGCTAGAAAATGCCGCGAGTTCTCATGAGTACTCGTGTGTTTGAGTACTCATTGGTCGTACTTGCTATGAGTTTTGAGTGTTAAAGTACTATCACTGAGTTCTCATGTAAGGGCCGTGAGTAATTAAGTACTACCACTGAGTACTCTCGTTGGAGTATTGAGTACTACGGTTAACTACTCGGCTGATAGTTTTGTGAGTACTCTATTAGTATATTTTATGTATTACAATTATTTCAATGAGATTTCAATTCACTTTTATTATGTTCTTCTTAATCACATAAAGATAAGAAAATCATCATGAAAGTAAAAAGAGAATGTTAATAGAACGTTGACAAAAAATATGTGAACTAGACCAGATAAAAAAATAGCAAAAAGAAAAAATGATAAAAAAATAATGAATTAATAATCATCTTGAATCAACAAAATGTGAATATTTTGATTACAAAATAACTGTTAACCTATATAACTAAAGGAAAGAATAAAAAAATATCACACACCTAAGTACAATTCCCCTCGAATACATGCACTATATTCATATATCTAGTAGAAAATAATATTTTAACGGATATAATCTTTTTTCTTGTTCATCGTTTTTTTATATGTATTCAGCTAAATCTGATATCGTGTTTATTGTTGTTGGTGCCACTGGTGCCAATTCGTGTTCATCGTGATTCAGAAATGTTTGTGTAATTTGATGTGGTGTTGGATTTAATGTTGCTGATGACTGTTCAGGACGAATTCGTTTCTTTTTGTTATTTTCTTCATCGATATGTTGGCGACCAAGAGAATCAGTAATTTCCTTCCAATGATCATCAATATTATCGTCGAGTATTGTACACTTCATTTGTATAAATTCTAAATAAATCTTTTTAAATGCAACTTTAGTTGAAAGCTTGAAAATTTTATACTGACCCTTGAATAGATTTTCATTACTTTTCAGAAATGCTTTATCATTAATATAACCAGCGTTTTTAATTAATTCTCTCATTATCATAGTTGGACGTGATATAGTGCTTCTGAGTTGATTTGGATCAACTCCAGTTACTGTCTATAAACAAAAACGAGCATTTTTTAAAAAAGCTTGTGAAAAATAAAACTTACGTGAATTCGTGTATATACTGTGTTATTACCAAATGTTGTATTAATTTGATTTTTTGATACCTGATCAACAGAAGAAAAAAATTCCAGTAAGTTTGTTCTCTAATTCAAATATCCTTACACAACTAGTTTTTGCTCGAAATTTTTTAATTACTGGTATCACTTTTTCTAATCGATCAATTCTTTTTGATAACTTAATTATGTCTTCTTGATGTTTAATACAACCACTACATGGCCCTTCAACTGAAAATAATCATACACTGCAAATGTGATTATAATAAAAAAAAATATTACCGTTTCTTATTGATTCGACTGCTTGTTTTTTCTTTCTACGATGGGTCTTTTTTGACAGTAATTGAAAATCATTGTTTTTCTTTACAACACATAAACTTTTATCTAAGTTATGAATAAAAATAATTTAATATTTGATTTGAATAAAATAAGTCAACATACCATTTTCATTGTCGGTTGCTTCACTTTCACTCAATGAACTTTGATCAGCAATGTCTTCATAGCTTCTTTTTGTTCCTGTCTCTGAGTAAACCCGATCGAAATTCAATTGACGATTGCTCAACGGAGTTTCTTAAATAAAAATGTTGAAATAAAATATGTATAATCAAATTTTCATGTTTAATAAGTAAAACTACGATATCACATACTTTTTAATGAAGAATTCGTTCGAGAATAATCATAAGTTGAAGTTGTCGTCGTTTGATTATCAAAATTTGGTGAATTTAATTCAATCGGTGATTGTAATTGTTCACTTGCCATAACCCTTTTTTTTATTTCCTTAGTTATTCGATGCATGGATGATGGTGAAAATTCATCATCACTGCTAACTTGGTTTTCATCATTTTCTTGATCATCAGGTAGAAGTTCAATTTCTTCACTACCAGCTGAAGCAGCATATCTTGATGCCCTTTCTTTCAATGTTTCTTTAGAACCTGAAGATGAAAAATATGAGTTGAAATTATCCGACATGAATTTTTATTTGAAAAACTTACCGCTACCAATAATACGGAAGTTCTTCCTTGATCCAAAAGTCTTTATACTACCATTTTGTTTATTAAGAGGATCAATATTGACACTAGCAGCCGGAACAATACTATGCTTGTTCAATTGTGGAAATGAAACTAATACGTATTCTTGTTCATCATAACGTTTACTTATTCCAGCTGTAGATCTTCGCACACGACTAAAACTAGTTGATGACGTGGTCATATCTAAAAAAAGAACAAAAAAAGGATATCATTAATGAAATTCAGCAGATTGTAGACGAAATAAACAAGTGAAGAGAAATAATAGTTACTTTACTTTTTTATTTTGCTAGAAGAAAATAATAAAATCTAAGAAATAGAATTATTAATAATAACCTATACAAGTTATACGAATATTAATCATGCTCCCGTTCACATACAACATCAGTATAAACGAAAGTATCATTAGACCATTTCATATTTATAACTTTATTGGAAATATCAGCTACAGGTATGATTTTGTATGAAAATTGTTTGTGATTGTAAAAACCATAATAGAAATTTAACTTATCACTAATAAATTGAGGCACTGATACTGTTGGTAATGCATCGGAAAAGCTGAAGTTAATACACTTATATTTTTTCACGAATGCATAATGACGATCATCACAATCAAAATAGAACAAAACGTCGCTAAAACATGTTTTTCTTTTCATTAAGCAGTTTTCGTTTGATATTGAGACGAAATAACTAATTCCGTAACCACTTCTTGTATAGGCACGTGAGTGGAAAAGTTTTAGTCCACGACTATAACGAGAAAAAAAATTTGATCCAGTCAAATTCATCTTTTTTTTAATTGAGCAAATGTTTAATTTATCTTGATAGTTTTGAATTAGTAGCATATTTATATAATTCCCAATAAATTTTTCTTCGTAAAATATATCATTCAGTTTCATTGAATTTTTTAATGCTAAAGAACGATCGACACTGTACCAAGTAATAAATTGTTCTAATATGTATTTTCTTCCTAAACACCATTTTACTGATTGACCAATATATGATTCACGAGCAAAACATGACGTAAATACTAGTGCACCATGTTTGAGTACTTGATCTTTCAAATGTAAATGTAAATGGAGCGTGCACAATTGTGATTTTTTTCCGTAATAATCAGTTATACGTTCGTAATAGTAGTTAAAGAGATTTTCAATGCCATCAAGTTCAGTAACATGATCATAAAAATACAAAGTTCGTATGTATACGAAATAATGCAAAAAGTGTAATGCAAGAGAATCAGGAAGAAATAATGACACAAAAATTGGCAAGACGTAAAGTAAAAAATCTCTAAAAAAAACAATAGAAACATCAGATACATGATATATAAAATTAGAAAAAAAAAATCTATTCTCCCTGTAACTCATTATAGTCTCATCAGTTGACTTGTTTCAAGAAATTTTTCATCAAGGTGTCAAACATCTGATAGAATCACCTCATTATTGGATATGATGTAAAAAAAATCTTTTTTCTCAACCTTAGCATTAAGAGACAAGACAAATTCATTCATATTATTTTTGCATTATAATTATTGATATTTTTGTTTTAAACACCAAATCGGTATTATTATTAGTATTAATGGTTCCTGTAAAATATTAATTTCGTACTACTAGTTATATGCACAACATTTAAAAAATAATTAAAATCTTCTAAAAACCTATGATTGTATATATGAATGAGATTGAAAAACTTATCAATCACAACTTCTCTATACACATGTGTTGTGTGTGTTTAACCTTAGTTTTGTTGCACTCGGAATTTTTTCTCATAGTACATGTATTGTTATACATTAATAATGAAAAATCATGAGTTCTATGAGCAAAGTAAAACTACCAACAAGTAGTTAAACATAATTTAAGAGTACAATGTGTGGGATATCTACATGAGGAAATATAATACATTAAAAAACATGTTTATATTAGGTTCACTTATGCAACTTCATGGATAGGCAAATCTTAGTGTTGTAAACATTTCGTAATTTAAACAATACTTATCTAAATCTAACATTATCCAACAAATAAATTTAATGTGCAAATAACACGAACCAATTACATGCCATTTTAATATTGAAAGAAAGATTTTAAATGGTTACTCTAACTTTAAAAATATTCCAATCTACTTAAATTTAAAATTTGTGAATTTGATTAAAGTGTACAAGTAAGGTTTAACTATCAACTTCAACTAATTGATACAAATATTCTAACCTAAACATTTTCGTTTTCCATTGATGATATTGTATAAGAGGTATAAATTGATACTTAAATGAATGAGGTAATATAATTGATATTAAGTAATTTGAACCTTGATCAAAAACATCAGGCAGTAGGATTCTTTCCCAATATGTTATTAATGTCTTAAAATGTCCACTACAGACCAGATGCATATAATCTTTAGCTATTTGATCTGGAAAGATTAATATTCGTGTTAATGGTGTCGGTCCCTTAATTCCCTTAATTGATTTTACCATAGACTTTTGTAAAGAAAATGTCATATAATCTCGATCAGTTTTTGGTGTTGATGGTAATTTTGAAAATGGATAAAATACTTGACGTTCAATGGCAATGCCATGAATATCACAATCTGGACATGCATCATAGCCATTGAACTGAACGATATTACAATTCTGTGCTAGTGCAGGTAAGTCAAACGTAACTAATTGTGCCCGAATCGCAAACATAACTTTTTCACCATCATCTGCAGTAATCGTAATTCCAGTCTTGAACAACTCATGAATTTGTTCCACAATCTTTGACCAAAGTAAGTCTCGGCTTGGATGTGTACCACCCAACCAGGCACCCAACACCATTGTAGCGTCCATAAAATCTCTAAGAGGTGGAGGAATTTCCACTAATGTACATTGTATTGGCCATAATGATTTTCCGCCCACTTTGGTGACTGGTGCTCCGTCTGTGTGAAGCATGAGAGTAAGTTTATTCAACTTAGTCGATGGCAAGTTTTTATAAATCTATGAAGTTGAATCAATTAAAACCTCACTGTAGCACCATCACAAGCGGAATTTTCAGAAAGAAAATTAAAATAATTGAAAAACAAGACCTCTCAATTTATCAAAACGTTCACTTTTTTGAAGTCCGATGTAGTAAGTGAATTTTTTTCTGATGAAATTCATGAATTCTCTTACTACTACATATAAAGATTACAAGAATCTTTAATTTCTATCGCTAATCAATTAATTATATAACGCTGCATACAACACTGGTATCAACTCGATATGAAATATTCAAATACAATATTATCTATTCAATGTAATATTGACTTATCGTATGAACCTCAGACTATTTATTTTCTCATAAGTTTTATCAGCGATTCATCTTGTTTAAAACGCCTTAATCACAAAAATGGTACACTTGCCTAATTGATATAAAGTTAAAGTATAAAGGAGTGAGATAAAATACATGAGTGTATTTTGTTTTTATTGCCATTTTCTATTAGAAGAAAAGCTACTTCATGTTTCATAATCAAGAATATAACGTTTTATCCCATCAGTTGAAGTCACACAATAACTAGCGAAAGTTTTTCACGAAACAATATTTAGTTAATGAGGAGAAGACTCATTATTCATTTAAAATAATGTATTTCAGTTCAAATTTGTAAAAAACGAACATATATAAGAATTTTTACAGTCAGCTTTTTTAGAACAAATTAGTACTCACCTGAGCATTTAATACATCACCGGGTAAAATAATATTTGTTTCATTTTGATATTCTCGAATTATATTACTATATCGGTTTACTACTTTGGCTATTTCTTGCTTAACATCGCATATCACTAGTTCACTCAAATTTTTAAATGATCGATGTTGATTGTTCAAGGAACATCCATAAGTACATACAGACTGTTGAACTGATAGTAAAGGATGAAAACATTCACGACAATAGTATGTAACCTTCTTTGAACAATCAATATCTAAAATTCACAAAAAAATATGCAATGAAAAAGATAGTTACTGCATTCAGTACTTTTCATTAACTTACTAACAATCTTCAGTAGACAGGGAACGGTGCGCGGCAGTTTGTTTTCTGTCGGCAGTAAATTACGCAATCCATTTAATAAACTTTGTATTTGTTTTTTGTTTAAATTTAATTCACGAGCGAGTTTAACTATCTCGATACAAGCTTCATAAATGGTTAATTTGCATGATTTATATAAAATTCGTTCACGATGTACATCAAATATATTGATAAATTCAAGAATATCATCGTCGCCATCATTATCATCGTCATCATCATGCATTTCACTATCACTTTCACTCGGACTTTCTATTGTTTCATCTGGTATATCGTAATATTTCTCATCATCTAACTGATAACCAATATTTTGTGCGCATGTACGCGAATCTTCAACCATTGGTGAAGTTTGATTTTCTGTTTCGTCAACATCGTTGTGGTGAGAATGCATTTGCAGTTCGTCCAGTTTCGAATCAAGTTTCATGTTTGTTGTTCTTTGTCGACATATTTGCTTTCTTTCAGTTCCAGTCGTTCTATAAAAAAGTTTACTAGACATCTATAAAAGATAAAATATTATACACGAACACATATTTAGTGATTTTAGAAAAACAATAATGATGAGAAGGGATGAGAGAAATAAATTATGTTATTCCTAAGTGGTACTATAATTTGCACCAGTATCCAGTTCAATTGAAGACCTTCTACACCAATAAAGCACGTGATATATTGTAGTGTATATAAATAGATAACTAGAATAAATTTTGCAACAACAAAGGAGTTTTTTTACGAATTAACTTTTCAAAATGTCACAAAGAAATTTTACATGTCGATTATATGCAACGAACAATTGTTTGAAAAGAACAATGTATTTATGAAATTATCCAATCGTATTTTTTTCTCTTGATTGAGACGACATTATAGCCTTTCGACTTGAAAATATTGAACAAGTTGCATTTGATGATATTTTTCATTGCACCAGATTATTGTCTATTTTTTATTTATTTTGTATCAGTTTCTATTATTTTTTTCTGATAAAAATTCTAACTGCATAACTACCTCGTCGAGTAGTTTCCGAAAAAAAGATACGAGTACTACATTGAGTACTCTTACTATTGCCTGCGAGTAATTTATTAAACGTAATACCATAGAAGTACTACTGAGAGTACTTAATGAGTGAAAATACTCGGGAATTTTTTTGAGTACTCACTCGAGTAATCTGAGTACTCATGCTGTAAAGTCGTACTCGCTTGATGAGTACTTTCACTAGGG